AGAATAACTTTAGTCCAACTAAAAAGACTTGCCAAAGAGACATCGAGAAACTTTTTGAACGGCTGATGTCTTTTTCCAAAAACAAGGAAAACACAGATCTATGGATCAAACCGTTCACGTTTAATTGATACGTCTAGAACAACCTGTATACCTTGTAGCTATGAATTGAAACAAATTAAAAATAAATAGTAAGAAATTAAAAGTATATAGTATTTGTATTGTCTTTTTCCAGTTTATTTTTATCATTTTGCTCCGTATCTATACGCTTTTGTATGAATCATTTGTCAAAGATAATTGTTGTCTTTTTTTGCGTAACATTCATTTGAGTTAGGTAAAATTCATGTAGGTATATTTATAAGAATAATGGCAGTATTGATAGACTGTGGTTTTAATTTACAGTGCGAGGTACAGCAATACTATTTGAACAATCTTATTAAAATCGACTCATATAAATTAATTCTGACGACCACCAATAGGTTGTCACCTTCTCATGACCTTTTAAACAGCCACTAATCGGCAAGCTTTGGACGTTATAAATGGAATGACAAAAAGTTTTTTATACCGAGTATGAATAATGCATATTTTTGCCTTTCATTTTTGCTCTTTGTACGAGTACATGTATATTTCAATTTGAAAAGTTGTAAGCTACAAACAAAATATATAGATGATACTTGTTTGAGGTATGATATACAGAATGGTTTATCAAGTAATAATGAACTACATGTAGTAGTATTTGCAATTGCTGTGTAAAAATTTAATTATATACTAATGTTTCAGTTAATAGAACTCATGATAATATATGCATTATTCTTGAAAAAAGACATGTTTCTATATTTTATTCTTGGAAACAATAAAAATTAAATGTAAATCAAACAAGATCACGTTACATGTTTATATTGGTAAATGATCGTATAAGCGTTTGAATAAGTGATGTCGGCTGCCGAGAACGTCTGTCAATATCTTATTACATGTTTTTTTTTCATGACTGCACGCCGTTATACATGTTCTCTAATGGCTGCAACCTGTGTAATCATGTGTAAAATGGAATGGTAAATGAAAATAAACTTAAATTTGCTTCCTATTGACTACAAAAAGATAGAATATTTGATTTTCTTTCCATTTTTGCATAACATACCGAATTAATATAACTAATATTACATTTGAGTTACTGTTTTACTGGAATATTACTCTAACTCGACTACAACTTTGGTGGACAAACGTTGTATGAACAAAAACAAATATCGTTTACATTTTTTGGTATTGTCTCTGATTCAATGACCGTGTATAGGACAACTGCCATTGTCAAAGCAATATTCTTTTTTATTTTTTTCTGGGCTCCTCTAAATAACATATGGTAGCGACAAAAACTATGGTCATGGCGGTAGTTTTGCTCTTTTGTTTAATGAGACGATTAAAGTATGATTTACTGTACAAAAATGTATGTTTTATTAGTTGAACAAACAAATGTTTTCGTTGCTTTAAAAAACGCTTTACTTTGGATAGAAAAATAAGATTAACAAAACCGACATTGTTTCATCGGCTACTTGAAGGTGATATTATCAAGTGGATTTACATTTGCATGGTATTTCACACATATGAAATGCATCAACATTTATTTAATCTGTAAATAGTACTCTACATATGAACAATGAATAATTTGTTAAAAGTTTTAAGAACTTTGTTATTATCTTACTTCAGTTGAAAGTGTTATGGATAGAATGATCCACCCGTTTTAAGAGATATAATAACTGAAATGCATGAATAAACCTTACTGTGTTTTAATAAAGCAATAACAATACACCTAAATACAATTTGGAAGGGTGTGTATGGAAAATATAGATTGTGCCAGTGGTAAGGAAGATTGGAGGAAAATGGACATAAAAAGTGGTATTCTAGGGAAACTCACTGGCCCAGAGAAACAGCGATGGCTCAATCTGATTTCTGCAAACCATGTTGAATTTCATTGTACTACATTTTCTGCTGTGCGGGTAAACATTTTTTTTTTGTTGTAGAATACACTTTCAAAAACTCATTTAATATGTTTCCGATGTAGGATTGACAATAATGTTTTGGCAATCTGTTAAATTATATGCTCGAAAAAAAATCCTTGACAATAATCCAGGGAAAAATAAGATGAAAATATAACTATTCGTTCAGGAAATTCTCTTACTTTTAATGCGATTAATATACGGTATGAACTCGTCCTACAATGACTTTGATACTATCCATTATTAATGCTTGTCTCCCATTGTTGCATTTTTAAGTCAAGTTTTTTAATCATTTTAATTAAGTATTATGAGTATATTTTACGCCGTGCACTAATCTTGATAATTTTTTCACGAACCTATGATACTATTTTTACTTGCATATTTTTTCTTAATCTCGTCATTAATTATTATCATTGTTAATGTATGTGCTTCTTAATTGTTATCTGTGACTTTTTGTCTAGTTATAGGCCTGGTCATTTAAATAGTTGCGGTGTTCCATAATAAATTCACCGTTAAGTCGTTTGATATATTTTATAGTATATGCTTGTTATCCTATAGAACGTGTCTCTCAATGTCACGCCGTCTGTAACAAGGGCCCCACTGGACATAAGGGCTCATTCCCTTTGTTGTGTTATACTTGGTACTGCGTTACATGGCATTGTTAAAACCCATGCTTGAATTTATTTAATAATTTTATATTTTATGATCACAAACACGCTTGTTGCCATTGTATGTTCTATGATACTGAAATAAATCTTTCAATCTATCTATATAGGAAAGGTGGCGATAACTAGGTCACGTGTATGGTTTATTTGTTCTACTTAGACAGGAAAGATCTACTCATTCATTTATTTATAATAAATTAATTTTAAAAATTGTCTTTCGCTTAACCTCAACCATTGCAAGAAATAATGTATTGAAAGTACAGGTTAGCTCCCTTTACAGTACATACTTTACTTGCCTGAAGATATCGATAGATTTGAAAGTATGCGGGGATCTTATTATATTGCTTTGAATTGTGTTGCGTTATATTGCATTATATATCATGATTATACATATCACATCACATCGCAACATCACATTTCGTTGGCTTATATCATTTTCTGTTATATTTTTCATATAAAGCGATATCTGTTATGGACTATTTTTGGGCGTAGTAATGTCACAAAAGTAAACAAAGAGCTTAGATAGTTTGACTTATATAAGTTTATATTAAAAAAGAACAGGGGTATATTAACACAATCAACACAAGTAATTTTCTTATAAATTATTAATAATCTTTAACAATTATAAGTAAAAAAGTAATATTCTTGAATAGCAGATCCTTCAAGAGCTATGTCAAAACAAGAAGAAAAAAATTACCCCAGATAGTTGAAATGTGCAAGATCAGTTCATGAGAGATCGTGTAAAATGCAATATCTCTCACGCCCCTCTAGCACCGATTTTCAATTCTCACCACAGAAAAAAAAAATGGAATCAATCCCGATGGACAAGACAAATTAGATGAAGATGAATGTTTAGAAACGATTAATGAAAGAACAATTACAATTATTTTATAAGAGTCGTGTGTGTGACATTGTGACGGTTTGTTGTAATCATAAAAAGATTTTTATCAATATAAAATAATTAGAGAAAGATATTGCAAGGTTTATTGCAATGGTGTGATAGAAAAAGACATTGGTTTGTGTCGTAAATAAATGTATTGCTTACATTAAAAATTTTCACTGCCAATATATTTAAAAGATACATGCACTCTCAATATGAAAAGAAAAGAAAAACATTCGAGATGGCTCGTTACTGATTTCTTGACCAAAAGAAAATACATTTCTTAAGATACATTTTCATAGGCACTTATTATATATGGTAGGAGATTACATAAAGTAAAAATACAAATACAGTGCTTACGTATTTTAACATTTCATATTGTTGTAAGTATAAAAATAATATTTGTTAATGTTTATGTAGATTATTGTAGCCCATTTCATTTCATTTCATTTTATGCTTTATGGTTTAACTTGTGCAAACAAGAACGCTTTCCGTTCTGTTAAACAAGCACTCAATTAAATTGATTTTTTTTACTGAAAAGAACCTCTGTTTTACCATATTTGACTGATATATTAAATTTCAATGGCATTCTAATTACACTGGAAGTCGAACAGGTTATATGATCTTATATAAACGGTTTTTTGTATACATAACCCGAGCCGCTTGGCCATATACCCAGTCCAGAATCTTAATATTCAGCAAACTTCCTTTTTAGAGAAAAATTCAATTTCTTGATAAATTGAAGGCGTTTGTTTAACGTTTAAGAAGTCCACATTCAAATATTTGGTATATTATACATGCATTATTTTTATTGTTTAAGTGTTGTTGCAACGGATGGTTACGTCTTTTTATTCTTATCTTACTTATTTTCGAAGGCCCATGCATACCATGTAACAACCATCTATGACTTTCACGAAACATTTCTTCAGCTTTTTAACTAAATAAGTTAAGATCACAAGTAATTTATTGTCGTAACCTAGCAACAATTATAACACCTATAATCATTGATTCATCGGTCCATTCTATATGTTGTGATCATTAGCTGCATGCTTAAAGACCATGCGAAAAAGTTAATAATCTATTCCATACATAGAGCATCCCATTAGCGTCTCAATTACAGAATTTATATTCAATATTAATATGAAAACATCTCCGTCTATCAAATGTGCGGTCTTATTCTGTCAGAACAAATGACTGAATTTAATCATTTCATCCCAATTCATATACCGTTTCGAAATCCGTTTACAATCCTTATAAATATTAAAGAGAACATTTTATTCATCGCTATAATAAATATTTGATCAATAATTCTATTATTATTTAGTGTTACTCGCGACTTTAAGTTAAACGTTGAAGGTTTAAAAGGTGACGTTCACTTGTCTCTTAAACCACTATATAAGACATCAGTATTAAAGTGCTTTCATTATTCCAGTTATTTGTTTAAGTTATTAGTCCTAGGTGAAAGTTAGACATACCATTCGAGCATTAACAGTTGCTATTGGGTATTGAGTTAGCGTAAGTGTATGTTCACACGCAATAGAAACGCGTTTGGATGCATTTTCTTTTTTTTTAAACAAAATTTATTAATATTGACAAAATTTCATTTCGATTGATTTTTGGATAATAGAGATTGTCAAAAGTCTTCATTGGCGGAAAACGACGGGTTGCACAATAGTTTAAATATGATAGATAATATTTTAAGGAGTTTTCAAGTGGCATGTTTAAAGTGTTTTATATGATATTTGACTTGTAAGTGAAGCGTGGACAGATAGAGCATAACAGTGTTGGTAGCAACTGATCATTCATACTACAATTATTCAATTGATAATCAAATGAGCATGGAATTGATGTAAATAAAAAAGAAAATTGGTTGAAAGGAATCCGAGCGTCGTGAATTTTAAAATTGAAAAAATTAAAACTTCACAGGTCGAGTGATTTAAATTTTGTTTTTTAAATAATGACTTGTATTTGAACAGAGGATATGTGTTATTTGTTGGAATAAATTTGCATTTAAGCTATAGGAATGGTAAAACAGCATGTCGGTATTGGCAATGAGTATGCCGACTAAAGACACTTATTTAGGTATCCCTGCAGTACATTCACACGTGCAGGGATCTCTTTTTAAAGGGCATGTAAGGCTCAAACCCGTGCCGGAAGCACAAGCTAGGAAGAAAAAAATAAAACGTTTACAAAAAGATAATTTTTCGGAGACAAATTCACGGATTCTGACTTTACTGAAGGTAACGATTTATGTGTAGTTTTTATTTTTAAAACTTATTTTTCTTTTGTATTTCATAGAGCAGAATTGTATGTGAAAGTATAAACGATAAACATTTTAACTCTTTAACAAATATAAAACTTCTATAAGCAATTATTGTGCTTAAACATTTAGGTTTTTTTAGAATAAACATAAAATATTAATGTTAGAAATGTACTTCACTGTGACCACCTCCAATTCTTAAACTAGGTTCAAAATCTACGTTTTTGTTAAAATATGGTACTTGACACTTAATAATTGAAATATCTAATGTTAAATCTTAATATTTCAAATAATATAAAAAAGTGAAATCGTCGTATATCAATGTAGGTAAACTTTTACTCTAGCTAAAATTGTAAAACTATTCGATGGTCCTTGACAACTTGATCAAACTAATTAAAGGTTATAAATCAAGATAGATTATGGACTTTTTATGGCGATTGAATAGACCACGTAAATCCTTAAATTCATTGAGGATACAGTCCTGCTTTTATTACCATCTATCATCGACGTCGACGGTTTTATTTCGCAAACTAATGAAGAAAATCATTCAAATGTCAGTCCTACTTTCAAAATGTGGACTTAGGCACTGAAACCTTACTCTTTACAATTGTTGAATTTATTATTTATATGACTTGTCAAGTTTGAAGTCGCTTTAGGAAAATGTTTGTTAAAGTCATGATCAGGAATGTACGTTTTTAACTGTTAAACGTAGCCGTCTGGGAATTTGTTTCAAACATTTTTTTTAAATAATATCACTAGAAATATCAATAAAGAAAGTCTAACTGTTTTTCATGTTGAAACATCTGAATGTAATAAATATTTAAACAAATAAAACTTATTTCTATTGGTTGAGTGTCATTTGAAGTAATAAAAAGTAAATCCATTTAAAACAAGTCAAAACAAAAATTTGCATAAGAAAATGCACCCAATAGTTTGTTTGTACTTTTTGAAAACAATCCATTTAAAAGATATTTTGCAGGATTGTACTATCACGTATATATTCGATCATAAAACGATTTATTGTGCGTGCGTCTGTCTGTTTGTCTGTATGAATGAATGTGATGTGTGTTTGTTTGTCAAATAATCAATCATCTTTATTAATATATATACATGTACATTTTGTATATGTGTTTGCAAGTCAAAAGAAATTTTTATTTACACAGACATGTGTATGTGACATAGTCTTTGTGTGTCGGTTAAAAGTATGTGTGTTTGTCTATGTGTGTCGGTTAAAAGTATGTGTGTTTGTCTATGTGTGTCGGTTAAAAGTATGTGTGTTTGTCTATGTGTGTCGGTTAAAAGTATGTGTGTTTGTCTATGTGTGTCGGTTAAAAGTATGTGTGTTTGTCTATGTGTGTCGGTTAAAAGTATGTGTGTTTGTCTATGTGTGTCGGTTAAAAGTATGTGTGTTTGTCTATGTGTGTCAGTTAAAAGTATGTGTGTTTGTCTATGTGTGTCCGTGAAAGTGTATGTGTGTTTGTCTATGTGTGTCCGTGAAAGTGTATGTGTGTTTGTCTATGTGTGTCCGTGAAAGTGTTTGTGTGTTTGTCTATGTGTGTCCGTGAAAGTGTTTGTGTGTTTGTCTATGTGTGTCCGTGAAAGTGTTTGTGTGTTTGTCTATGTGTGTCCGTTAAAGTGTTTGTGTGTTTGTCTATGTGTGTCCGTGAAAGTGTTTGTGTGTTTGTCTATGTGTGTCCGTTAAATTGTTTGTGTGTTTGTCTATGTGTGTCCGTTAAAGTGTTTGTGTGTTTGTCTATGTGTGTCCGTAAATGTGTGTGTGTTTGTCCATGTGTGTCCGTAAAAGTCACTGTGTGTTTGTCTATGTGTGTCCGTAAATTTTTCTGTGTGTTTGTCTATGTGTATCGGTTAAGGTATCTGTGTGCGTGTCTATGTGTGCCCCTGTAAAAGTATCTGTGTGTTTGTCTATATGTGTCGGTATATGAGGCCATAAAGTGACTACTGTATATATGTTTGTTTAACTTCACAACATTGTTTTGTTTTAAATTTTAAATTTTCAACATTTTAAGTTATAGCTTATCAGACATCTTTCAGGTCATCTTAAAGGGTTGTTTGAAATTGAATATTTATCATTGACTTGTATATACTAAACGTTTCGATCTATCTGTATTTGTTATATCGAAGTGAACAATTTGGGTTACGAGGGTCATCTTCGACACTCGAGTGACATGTTTGTAACATGTAGGAAATATAGACCCCATTATCTCGATAAACTAAACATGAAAATAGCATTAATATTTCAATACAATTAGCGGAAAATATGATCATATCATATGGTTGAGTTTTCTTTTATGAATGATTTTATGCGTTTTAAGGCATATGCTATAGTTACAAAAAAGGTTTACATAGAGAATGAAAACTGTATAATAGTATTTATTTAATTTGATTACAGAAACATTTCAAGCAAAAATAATTAGGGGAGAGGGAGGGAGTCACCGAGCTCGTTTTCAAGTTATCTGCCCTTGGAATATGATATTCAGGTCATTTCAAGGACAGATAATTTGAACTTAGATTTGACAAACCAAGTATTTACTGTTGGGTTACACTTTTTTCAGTTTATTCTTGGATACAATTCAAAATTTCATGGAATTCCGTTAAACATTTGAGTTCCATTTTTTAAACTTTTTTTTTTTTTTTTTTTTAAATAAAGCCATTTTTAAAGACCAATGGCATAGGCATATAGGAGAAAAATAACCTCCAATTCTTGACATTTTTTCTTCCTGTTATTGAGTGTCCATGTCCTGCTTGTATTTTCTTCAATCTCCTTAAGAAAATATTTAAATAACTCAACGGTAGTTAATAAATAACAAAGTGTGTTTTTTTTTTCGTAATCGTTATTATTTTTATTTGTTTCTGTTCACCATACTTTTATAGGAAACGTTTCTTTCATTATTGCATGATATTTCAGAATGCCATAAACGCAATATAGAAATTTCAATAGTTTTTCTTGTCACATGACTGCCATCATATCAGTTTTAATTAGATAAACTGTGCGATCACAGGTTCAAGCTGGCTTTTCATTTTCTTATTATTATGATAATTGAAATTTATCGAAAATTCAATCAAAAAGTAGATTACTTAATTCGCGCTACTTGTCTAACCGTTAATTAAATTTTCGAAAAGGAAACAACCCTTGAACATTGCTTGATCGATCATAAAGTACAAGAGTTTAGGCCTTTTGAGATATTTTAGAATTTTCAATACGTGAGATTTATTTTTTCAATTTTCATACACATATATAAAAGATAAACAACATTTTGAAAACTTATTGTCTACTTTTCTTTATATATATATACAAAAACATTTTCATAAGTTTTGAATTCAAAATTGCACTTTTCTGACTGATAAATAATGTTAATTACAGTTCTTATTTTTTGCACGGATTTCACGAATCTGTTTACGTATTGCGCACTTATCTTTGTGAACAGATTACACTTTTTTACGTTAAAAATCAATTTCTGCTCCCATACATTTCATTTGATGGTACGTAATCAATGTTTCGCCGATGCATTTCAAATTTGATTTCCATTTATGAATAAATATATAGAAATTAGAAAAAAAAGTATATAGCAATTTTCCGACGATCAATCAAAGAGCGATCAATAAAAACTATTAATTCATTTCAAATGTGAACGACATTTTAATTATACATGTTCTATTTATCATATTTACATAGTTTATCGGAATTTTCGGATTCAAAAGAGAGTCACCAAAGTGAAATTTATTTGTAATGGGATACTGTTTGAAATAGTCTAAAAATCAAATATTAATACAATTATAAAGCTGAGATTTATAAATACATTCAGCTAACAGTGTGTTTAAACTGAAGCTTTCATAAAACGCATCTATAGAAACTAAACAAACTATAGGTGCGCCTTGCCAAATAATAGATTAAGTTATTAATAGACCGTAAATAATAAATTCTGCAAGAATCACATCTTTCTCTATTCAAAGCGTTTAATACATTGCCTATGTCTTAGACCATATTTTTAAAACACGGAAAGTGGCGAAATGTGCCGAATAGACACGACTTCATGGTGTATTAATTCACTTAATCACAACAATTATGTCGTCTAAAAAGACTTGGAAAACAAATTTTGCTCCTTGTGGGTTACCGAAGAACCGAACGGTAACCGATCAAATGAACCGAACGATTACCGGTCACATGAACCAAACGATTACCGGTCACATGAACCGAACGATTACCGGTCACATGAACCGAACGATTACCGGTCACATGAACCGAACGATTACCGGTCACATGAACCGAACGATTACCGGTCACATGAACTGAACGATTACCAGTCAGTTAATATGAGTCTTGCTAGAACTCTCTAATTAGAAGAATACAGCTATTATCAGCTAATCGGTAACACTAATTTTAAGTTTGAAGCGACTTAGAGATATAAAGATAATGTGTTCATCTTACTTTAGCCTTTTACCTGATCTTGAGATAGAAGAAGATATACAAAATGTTTAAATAAAAAGGTGGGTTTTAATTTCGATTGCGTATCATTTTAAAAATCCATCAAATCAGCTAATATGTAAATGTACATACACATGTATTTCTAAAAAAAGAAAAAAAAAGAGAAAAAAAAACATGCTCTAAACTTTTCTGACATGCTATCATTAGTTGTCTTACGTCTTCCCATGCTATTGTATATCGGAGTTTACGATAAACTCATCCCACTGTTTCATACATTATATTAATTGACATACTCTAAAAACTATGTTTTAAAACGTTCCTAGCTATTGAAAGGGTTAAATGTATGACAAATTAGATATTAAAAGCAGCGGTAGTTTTGATGGAAGTCATGCATAAGTCGTGTCTTATCTCTTACCCATTCATTCAACTATATATTATAACTTTCTTACTTTGAGTACCCTAAATCTATCAACTTCAAATATGAATCATAAAAATGGATATAGATACTTGAATTGATTGATTTAAAATCTAGAGATCTGTAAAGGACAAGATTACAGCATTAATGTATCTTTTCTAAAGAAATGTACTTTAAAAGATTTAACGAGTGTGTTGATATACTACAGATGACAAGCGGAAGCGGCATATATAAACATTTTATAGTGCCTTGAGTCAATATACCATTAAACTGAATCTGTTGCTTTTCGTTTTTTTCGCTTTTAGTTTAGGGGGCTCTGGAAATAGTTCTCTCCTTAGGCGTCATATATAAACAGTGTTACATTATAATTATGTCCTTAACTTAAGTTTATCTACTTCTTAAAATAGCATACCGCCTATGCTTAGGGGTGGAAAGAGCGAAATTACACAGATATTGACACCATTCTGCAAGGAATTTCTTAATCTCAGTCTGCTGTAATCTTTCCCGGTTAATCTTGGCCTGCGATAATCTTTCTCAGTTAATCTTGGCCTGCTACAATATAACTTAAATAATCTTGGGCTGCTATAATCTTTCTCGGTTAATCTTGGCCGGCTACAATCTTTCTCAGTTAATCTTGGCCTGCTATAATCTTTCTCAGTTAATCTTGGCCTGCTATAATCTTTCTCGGTTAATCTTGGCCTGCTATAATCTTTCTCAGTTAATCTTGGCCTGCTATAATCTTTCTCGGTTAATCTTGGCCTGCTACAATCTTTCTCAGTTAATCTTGGCCTGCTATAATCTTTCTCAGTTAATCTTGGCCTGCTATAATCTTTCTCAGTTAATCTTGGCCTGCTATAATCTTTCTCAGTTAATCTTGGCCTGCTATAATCTTTCTCGGTTAATCTTGGCCGGCTACAATCTTTCTCAGTTAATCTGGCCTGCTATAATCTTTCTCAGTTAATCTTGGCCTGCTTAAATCTTTCTCGGTTAATCTTGGCCTGCTACAATCTTTCTCAGTTAATATTGGCCTGCTATAATCTTTCTCAGTTAATCTTGGCCTGCTATAATCTTTCTCGGTTAATCTTGGCCTGCTATAATATTTCTCAGTTAATATTGATCTGCTTCAATATTTCTTAGTTAATCTTGGCCTGCTATAATCATTCTCGGTTAATCTTGGCCTGCTATAATATTTCTCAGTTAATATTGTTCTGCTTCAATATTTCTTAGTTAATCTTGGCCTGCTATAATCTTTCTCAGTTAATCTTGGCCTGCTATAATATTTCACAGATAATATTGGTCTGCTTCAATATTTCTCAGTAAATATTGGTCTGCTTCAATATTTCTTAGTTAATCTTGGTCTGCTATAATCTTTCTCGGTTAATCTTGGTCTGCTATAATATTTCGCAGTTAATATTGGTCTGCTTTAATATTTCTTAGTTAATATTGGCCTGCTATAATCTTTCTCGGTTAATCTTGGCCTGCTACAATCTTTCTCAGTTAATCTTGGCCTGCTACAATCTTTCTCGATTAATCTTGGCCTGCTATAATATTTCTCAGTTAATCTTAGTCTGCTTCAATATTTCTTAGTTTATCTTGGCCTGCTATAATCTTTCTCGGTTAATCTTGGCCTGCTATAATATTTCTCAGTTAATATTGGTCTGCTTCAATATTTCTTAGTTAATCTTGGCCTGCTATAATCTTTCTCAGTTAATCTTGGCCTGCTATAATATTTCACAGATAATATTGGTCTGCTTCAATATTTCTCAGTTAATATTGGTCTGCTTCAATATTTTTAGTTAATCTTGGCCTGCTATAATCTTTCTCGGTTAATCTTGGTCTGCTATAATATTTCTTAGTTAATATTGGCCTGCTATAATCTTTCTCGGTTAATCTTGGCCTGCTACAATCTTTCTCAGTTAATCTTGGCCTGCTATAATCTTTTTCAGTTAATCTTGCTTGGCCTGCTACAATCTTTCTCGGTTAATCTTGGTCTGCTATAATATTTCGCAGTTAATATTGGTCTGCTTCAATATTTCGCAGTTAATCTTGGCCTGCTATAACCTTTCTCGGTTAATCTTGGCCTGCTACAATCTTTCTCAGTTAATCTTGGCCTGTTATAATCTTTTTCAGTTAATCTTGGCCTGCTACAATCTTTCTCAGTTAATCTTGGCCTGCTATTATCTTTCTCGGTTAATCTTGGCCTGCTGTAATCTTTCTCAGTTAATCTTTGCCATCTTTATTATCTAATATTGTTTCAAGAATAATCGCACATGATAACCTTGATTTTTGTCTAATTTCAGGCATCTGAAGATGGCAGGAAACGAGCATCCACCCTGCCACCTCTGGACCGGGAACCAACCTTTCACAGAAAACCTAAACACTTTAACCCGTACGATGGTTCCCATGAAGATGTAAGTTATTACTCTCGTTTCAAATTTATCAAACAGTATAAAAATTTCAAGAATTAAAGTAATTATCATTTAATAGTTTTCATAATCAGTGTTTTTATTCAAGATCATATATTATTTATTAGTTGCTATGGTGACTATAGTTTTCAGATACATTTTTAAAGTACCTGTACTATTTCTATGATAAATGTTGTCATTTTGTTTTACATATTTCTATTATGTGTTAACCATGTCTGATTTGTAGCATCCACATATGTATATTTTGTATTATTAATCTTTATATGTGTATGGGCCGGTGGCCTCATAACTCAATAAAGTTTGATTGATTGATTGATTTATTCATTTATTCATTTATTGTTTGATTGATTGGTTGATTTTTTTACATTCTTACATTATTCGATGAGAAATATAAGTCGTTCTTGCTAAAACTTTTTATATTATTAACATATGAAATTTACAAAAATATTAAAATAAAGAAGTTAAAGAAAATAACTTAAACACTGCCGTCTGAAAACATCAGTCCCCCACTATATATCAATATTGATTTGACAGATTATTCATTAAACAAAAGAGATATTCAGTAGTTAGTGAACAAAGTTTCCCCACAAGAAATAGCACTAGTCAAAAGTTCAATCTGACTAAACCTACAACGTTTTCATTTCAATCATGTTACAGACACCATCTTTTAACTGCCCAAATATGTCTACCTTTTTACCTAGGGGTCGTGGATTTAAGGTCTACTTGAGTCAGAGTCATGTTTTTTTTTTATATGATACCAGTATTTAACAATACAAGAATTCAAGGGAGCGGATTTGAAAATGATCTATTATAAGTTCCGAGAAATGTGTCACAACCGAGTTAAATGTATATGTTTATAAACTTAAAATATGAAGGTGCATTATGTCCCAGAAACATTTTTCTTTCTTCAGAAAGAGCAAACAAGAGTCTTACATAATGTTTAAAAAAAAGTTTCTCAAACGTGTTATATACTTTCGTTTGAAGAAAGTTGCGTGGAATGCGAAATTATTTCACATAAAAGTAGCAAAATGTAAGACACACAATATTTTGATTTCCATACAAAAAAACTTAATTACTTTAACTGTACATTGCTAAAGATTTGAAAGCAACAGAAGTGAAAGATGGAGCAAGAAAGTGGTCAATAAACTTTTTTGAAACTTTAACTGAGCGCCGAAAATAAAAAAGCATTTAAGAAATACAAACTAAGCATTTCTTAGGCATAGTGGGCTTAACTGTTCAAAGCATTTTTTTTTCTGAGACAATAATATAATTGTATTTTCCTTTGATCAGTCCGCCGATAGTCATTGGAAGAAGCACTACGACAAAGTCAGTATTGAAGTGGACAACAAAGTCAAACATCACCTGAAGGTAATGTAGAATTACTAAAATCTTTCGTAACAAAAGGCAATACAAACACGGATATTGAAGCAGTTCTTTGTTAAATTACTAATAACTTATTTGCATAATATTCCGAACTTAATTGATTTAAGCATAGCTAATTGCTATTGTTGTATGTAGTAAATAACAGTGTATCGCCATAATGAAATGTTTTTTCCTTTGGCACATTCTTTGAATGTTACATGTTTAAACTCTCTTACATTATATGGGAAAAATGCAATAGATCTATCAGTGATGAAAGTATTTATGATCCTTACATCATGTAGTACATCTAAGCCAAAAAACAACTCGACATATAGAAGAAAACTGATTGATTTAATAAGGAGGGAAAACTGTTGCGTTTACGAATCAGTTTTGAATTAAAGTTTTCTTTTGAATTTCATTTAAGCATCTGGTAAACAATTTATACACAACTAAAATGTCTTGTAAAATATGACCATTCTGTAAATTATTCGTGAGACTTTTGCAGTTATTCATTATTCTGTCCTTCTGTGTTCTAATACGGTGCACAAATGATTAAAATGATAAAAGATATACTGAGCGGTGTGCTTTTTTTGTTTCCAGCGGCAACTGATGCATCGGTTTGAGAGGCGATTGAAGAAGATGGAGGAGGCGATGTCAGAGGACTTGAGCGGGCGACACGGCAAGGGCTATAATCCCTGGGAAGGAAAACACGGCAAACAGGTATATTTATAACATGTCATGAATAAAGGCTTTGTGAAAAATATAACAAAGATATATAACATAATGGATAAGCAAAATTAGATTATTCTGATTGACATATATTCTCTCAAGTCCTTTATCTAAATGAATGGAATTCGATATCAATATGAGGTAATAGTTAAAAGTTCATGATACTAAGTAATTGAACCTTCTTATGGAAAGCACATCAGTTAAAAGTCGTTATTGAAGTTTAATAGAAAAAGTAATGAGAGAAACATAAAATCTATCACATAATATATACAAATGTTTATAACTTTATTATCATACTATTGGCTGGTTGTAAATACATAAATTTTTTGCTGTTAATTAACACCTGTAACTTGACAAAGTTAATATGTTATACAAATATACTATTATGATTGAAAAAATAAGAAACAGGAGAGCCCTACGTTACCTTGGTTTACTATTTTACATTTCAGAAAAAGAAGGACATTTTCCACAAATACACTGAAACAGGTGCAAAAGCGGGTGGAGATAATGAGCCATCATCGAGGACTGAAAAGTCGTTTCCGGAAATACCAAAGAAAAATGGAAATACTAACGATGGGAAGCAAAACTTACCAAACGGAAGGGTGCAGTTCCCGGATATAAATCAAAACGGCGATATAAATGGCGATCATTTGGATGGGGCAGTTTCCCCAAATTCTGTGAATAATGACTCTGATAGCGAAACAATTCAAAGTCAACAGACTAATGACGAAGTGTTTGACTTAACTAGACTAAAAACTAAATACGCAGAACAAAGTTTTAGACACATGGATATAAGTCCTATACAGACGCCGCACGTGCTGCGTCCGATGACGCGTGAGCAGACGAGACTTAGTTTTGGTGACAAAATTCAAAGGATTCTTAATGGTGAAGTGCATGTTAACTGCCCAACAATAAACAAGACAATAAAGTTGTACGTGTGCTCTGGGTTTTCAGGTGAAAAAATTTTAAATTCTTTTAATAATGTTACATGCTAAGGAATGTGTTAAGTCTACAAAAACAAAATGGATTTGACACTACAGTGATAAGAAATATGTTTGTGTTACTAGTCAGACCAACTTAGATATCAGATTCTATTTTGTATTTATTTTTGCGATAGCACAAAACTTATTCATGAAGTAATGCACAGCTTATCTTTGAAATGTTATATCCACTTTACCTGTCTTTCATGTTTACAGATTCAGAGGCTGAACGTACTATTTTGGCAGAGCGAATGTTTCCGGAGCTTCGTAACCTTTGTGTTCTTCATGGTAGAGAGCTACAAGTGATTGACCCACATTGGGGTCTCGGAGACGCTCTTGCAGACGATCATGGTATCCCAGATATGTGTCTGTCAAATGTGAATCGATGTACGGAGGATCATCTTCAAAGCATTAACACTGTGGTAATTATTTATTAGATCGAAAATCAAAATTGACTCAAATTGCATATTATAAATGTGTTTTACTTGTTATTATTGCATTATGTAATCGCACGAACTGGCGAAAGTAAGATTTATCAAACGTTCTTAGTTCAGCTAGGTTCAGTCTGAGCAGAATTTGTTCCTTTGTTACAAAATTATTTCTTTATCTTCATTGCAACAAACCTTTATATGACTATGGACATTCTGAAATTCAAAGCATAAAAAGTCCATTACAAAAAATTAGGGGTTTCTCTACCCTTATTCGTATGCAAGGCTAACATAAAATTGACTGTGTTCGTTGTCAATTGGTGTAATAAAATTGTTTCCATTTTGTACTATCGACAGTTTCATCATTTATATTATTTTAGGTTATTCTAACGGACCGCTATGGTGAAGCTTTACTTCCATCTATTTTACATATCGATGAATTTGAATATATCTATAATGCCGTCACTTCTTACACAAACGCAAACAAAGCAAGAATCAACGAGCAAATAGCATTCATAGAAAATCCATCATCTGCTAGAGAACGCAATGTGCTTCAAGAACAGTCGCAAGGAGATGGCGAAAGTGTTCTCATGATGAATGGCGGCGATGAAACAAGTGGCCAGCAAGTGGTAGTAGAGAAAACGCATAAGAAAGAAGATGGGAAGAAGGAACAACTGTTGATAAAGGCTTTAAAAGATGAGGAAAGTCAGTTACCTGACCCATCATTGCTTGATACCTGGTATAGATTAGATGAGAATTCTGTGCCGCCTGTCTACAAGCTGCAAAACATAAGGTAATGTTAATCTTTAAGGTGCATAAGTCCACAGAAAGGTCGTTTGATCAAATACCGCATTATAGTTCAAATACATTCTATTTCGAATGAAAGTCAAACAAGAAAATTTGCTAAAAAGATTGCCATTATTTTGAAGTGACCAAAGTTAAAAAATCCTTAAGCTATCTTATACTTTTCCGATTCAAAATCGAATATGATTTGAAATATGATATTGAAAATTATAAATTCTTTTACAGAAAGCATTATAGTGTGTTGATAACCATTATTTTTTATGTCAAACTATTGTTGTTTTTAGCTCAGTTTTAAAAGATTTTGGTAAAGGCGATGCCACCAAAAGAGAGTATGCTAAGCAGGTTTGGTATGATGTTCAATCAAGACTTCTGCAAATGATCAACCATTACGGACAAACAAAATACAAGAAATCACGTAAGTTGTCGATATCATTATCTTTTGCGTAGTTTATCATGCATTTTCCTAGATTCCACAATGTGTAACATAGAAACGATAAAATAGTAAATACGTAACACATCCGGTATTATACATTTTCAGAACTTGTACAAAAACAAACTCCGATGTATGCAATAAAATGACTTGAACTAATCACAAGATGCCTTGATGTAATAATGGTATTAAATGAAATAGTCATAATAATGGCAAAACAACTCGCTTGAAAACGCTTGTGAAAAAGTACGTGTAATCCTACGAATACTTATTGTATTCCTAATCTATTCCTTTTCAAATATTTAAGCTTTATAGTTTAATTAAGTGTGCCACTGAAATCCATACATTAACTATTTATATTTTTATCATCTGTATTTTCAGTGTTGGATCTAGAACTTACCCGTATACTTCAAGAGCATGACACTGGTTTAGAACAATGTGTCGTGATTTCTCGCGAGATAGATGACATTGACGAGAACCTTGATGATTTACGAGCAGACGAATATGCGGATGTGACGCCAGGAAAGCCACACAGACGAGATTATAATGTTTTCAATAGACTCAGAAAAATCAAACAAGAAATAATACCTCAAAAGGTTACATAATTCAATGATTGTATCTAGATTTATAACTGGTGCATTGGAAACCTTTTTGATAAACTTTAATCATTATATTCGAGAGATTCATTCTGACAGAAGTATATACTTATCTACGGAACACAAAAGAGAGCTCTATAGAATTGCCCAGTATTTTGTATATGACTCCAACATAAGCTGTAGTAAGTGGAGACACAGGATCTCTTCTTTAAGTTCAATGCTCTTCTGTTCGTTCTTCTAATAATATTGTTAACCCGATGAAGATATTGAATATGCCGGAACCACTATTTTAAGTAAACTTAAAATAACACAATTCGGTGTTAGTCTACCCTCCCCATTCTTATTTTTCTGATAAATTTGTGTGTAGCTGTACATACAGCCTCCATTGAAACAGCTTTATAAAGGTTTTTAAAGGTAAAAGTTAAGTTAACGAAACCGCCACTTTTTCAGGTATCGGACCAGTATATTCTACCATTCCAAACCTCTTGGGCACCAGGTGGTGTCCGTATTGGCGGCGATCGAATGCATCAAACATACTTGGACCGACTAGGAAAGCATGTGTGTGACGTCATCAAAAGACGTCTGCTGGAAGGATTCAAAGAAGAAAGCCAAGCTGACAAATGTCCTGAACTTTTTGATGAGGTTTCGGAACATGTTTTATTTTACCAGCAGAGGTAACTCTATAAAAGTCTTTATCTCTCTTCCTAAGAAATCATGACACTATTATGGAATAAAACAAGGAGGATTTTACATTTTTATAGACTATTTTACAATACGATTCTTCCATAGCAACCAATGTTGCATTTCATACATGCGCATTTTGCGTAGGGCATAAGCGCAATAAAATTGACAACAGTGTATGATACTTTAAGGGTTTAATAGTCGTGATTCCATGTTATATCAACCAGAAAACAGTAATTTTGGGATGACTTAAAATCGTAAATAGCTTTATAAAGATTTCAAATTTTCTTTAATGAAACATTCTTTGAAAGCAGTAAAAATAGAGTTTAAACTCGATAATCATGGTTTTCATGAATATGGTTTCAGATCTCAACATTTTCAAGGAATGAAGGAAACGCTTCACGTGATGAAATCCTACATCCGGTCCGCGTGTCGTTCAGTTCTTGTTGTACACGGGAAGCCAGGTTGTGGAAAATCATCAGTGCTTGCTAAAGCAGCGAAAGAAACACATAAATGGCTAAGAGGGTAATACATTTGTAACTCATACATGCATATTTGTGGCCATTTTTGAAAACAAAAAATATTTGCAAAGTAATTAAGAAAGAAACAGTTGCCTTTCTGTGTAAAATCATCCTTATCCAATTCATTATTGGACCATCATACTTTATGAGAAACAAATTATAATAATTTCGTACTGTAAAATAAAAATGACGATCCAACAAGAAAAAAAACAACAAATTTTTAACAGGCCATCAATGTTTTGATATTTTTTTTCTAAATTCAAATGAGGAAGAGCTATCTATATTTTCAACTTCAGTCTTTTTTAAAGTGAGATCAACAAACTCTTTAGTACTTTAAATAGTTAATAACATTGATACGCTATTAATTAAAAATAGTTAGGGAATTGTAATCATGTAAAATACATTTTTAAATATGTGAGCAAACTATTTCAAATTGATATATTATCTTTAGTATTCTTTTTACAGGCAAGATATTGCAGTTGTCGTACGGTCTGTTGGTTCCACTAAAGAGTCTATGAATGTACGAAATTTGCTTCACAATATATGTCAACAACTGTGTCATATCTACAATGGGGACTCGAGTCAGATACCAACCGTAAGTTCAAATCTTATTCAAAAAAATAATATATGTAAATATCGTTATTTACTGTAATAATTAACTTGAGGTTATTCCATTGTGTATTAAGCAAATAAAACACCACCATTCTAATTGTGTAGGTAAATTTAATGGTATATTAAGTTTTATTGATACTGGGTTTGGTCGTGTATAATATCAATATAAAGTGTACAGGAATATCTTAGTTTAATTAATTTATAAAACATACAACGATATGCTAATATGTACCTTAATAAGTTGTTATTAATTTAATTTCCTATTCCAAAAGTCAACCGTAAGGCCCAAAAGTGCCCTGCTCAAGTTTTCAATATGAAATTATTATAGCCTTTATAACTTAGACCGAATTAATGTTTTGCAAAAAAAGATTCGAGACGTGACAAAATCATTCCGCATTCAAAAACTGCAATCGGTTTGCAATTTTGTAACTTCTCTTCAAGAAATTGCTTGAGATTATAAACTAAAATATGTTAGATTGCATTTGATTAAATTGAAATCCAAACGCATACTAAATATCAAAACATCTTTAATGTTTAAACTTGACGGTAAGTAAGGCCAATGAGAAATACATTGATATCACTGCAAACTTAGTAATTTAGAGATAAAATATAATAGGTAGATGTACATAGGAGAATAGGTACATGTACATGTACATAGGAGAACAACAATAAAATAAAAAAGAAAGAGAAAACTATTTTATTCTTAATTTCACAATTTCATTCTTACCTTTTTTCGACATTTAACCGTTCATCTTTAAAAACATCATTCATGCAGTTTTGTCAACTGTGAATAGTTTATCAATATTCCATACACTTATGTGAATCGTTTTACAAGAGGTATTATTGTCGTTAATTAAATTATTGGGCATGATTTAATTTGATTTGAAATATCGTCTCGGAAATGGTCATCTTTGGCAAAAAATGAATCAGCTATAAATGAATCACATTTGAAGTGGTTATTTTTTTTACTATTATTGAATCGCCACAGAAGTGGTTATCTTTGGCTAGCATTGAATCGCATCGGAAGTGGTTGTGATAAATGAAATATCTAGAAAATAGGTTTGTTATATTTCAACTGGTTATACCGCTATTTATAGTAGAAATAAAACTACATATATGATATTACCTGTATTTTAGGACTATGTTGGTTTGATCAACGACTTCTCACAACGATTGGGCCTAGCTAGTAAACAAAAACCGCTGGTTTTATTTATTGATGCTTTGGATAGGTTGGATGGTAAGTAGTGCTTTTAACAAAATGTACATGAGTGAAGAATATTCAGGATATAAATACAGAGATAAAAATGAAATGAATTTAAAAAGATTTTTTTTTGGGAGAGCAGATAGGAAGACTAAAATAAGGTACAGGTTATCGTTATTTTTGGCAAACATTCAGTAAACCAGGCATACTCTCCCTTTACAGGAATATTCAGTCACTTTCATTTTGTCGCTTGTAAATAATGTATCGTAGTAGATTTGCAAATCGCTGGATATAGAAGAAAAAATCTGACCATTTGAGTGCCAGCAGCAAAAATTATTAATCTATACCAACAATAATATATAATAAAAGCAAATCTTCATATCCATGCATCATATCGACTTGTTATATTTTCGGCTATTTAATTATTGTTTACTTTATGATACAGAGTCCCTTATACTTACAGTTGACAGTTTCAAAGTCCATAACAAAATTTCAGCGGATAACGTGATAATATACATACCAGTCCAATGTCACGTATTTCTGTGAGCAATGAAAGTAAACGTAAGGAACAGTTGCGTCACTTAAATGCGACAAAACATGTCTTTAAAGTTAAAGTTTGTCCAAAAGCATATATAAGACGTTTTGAATTATCGAAGAATATTTATTACTTTCTTACAGATGATCACGATGGTCGTAAATTAGCATGGTTACCAAAGACTTTGCCAGATAATGTTCACCTTATCGTTTCGAGTCTACCTGATGAAAAGTTTGACTGTATGCCAAGTCTTAAGATGTTGCTAGGCGACAATGCAGACGTTTTCTTAGAAATTCCGGAATTACTAGAATCCGACACAATGGTCATTTTGAATCACTGGTGCAATGTAGAAAATCATAATCTAACTCAAGAACAATTTGATATTATATTCAACGTCATGAAAAAATGTCCTACTCCTTTGTTCTTAAAACTTTTGTTCCACGAAGCCTTAAAATGGTCGTCATACACTAATGTTCAGGAATCCAAATTGCCAGATTCCGTGAAAAAGATGGCAGCAATCAAATTTGGTCAGTTAGAAATAAAATATGGAGAAGCGCTTGTTAGAAGGTCGATAGGGTACATAGCAGCATCACGGAACGGAGTAACTGAACACGAAATGTTAGATCTTCTATCTTTAGATGACGCAGTAATGGGCGAAATTACGCCGCATTATAACTTGGTTCGAAGACGTGTCCCTAACGCGCTATGGTACCGCCTACGAGCCGAATTGCATTTATATATAAAGGAAGTAAAGGCCGACAACGTTAAAACGTTGCAATGGTCTCATTCTCATTTCTTCGAGGCTGCAAGAGAAAGGTATCTGATACAACGTGATAAGGCTCCTTCATACCATAAGTTAATGGCAGAATACTTCCTTGGTACATGGGCCAGCAAACCAAAACCATATCCTGGAAATGACAAGGGTGCGTTGCGTTACGTGTCGGACCAACCACTGTACTGGGAAAGAAAAGATCCGGTGGTGGGCGAAAGTTCCTCACGTGTTTACAATCTTAGAAAAATCAATGAGCTCCCACATCATTTACTTTTGTCAAGTTTATTACAGCAGTATAAAACTGAAACAATGTGCAATTTTGAATGGGTGCTTGCTAAATTATGTGGAACCTCTCTTCGAGGTCTGGTAGAAGAGTATCATATTGGCCTTGAAATGGAGCCGTCTGATCTTGATCTCAAGTTAATGTCAGATACTCTACAGCTGTCTGCTACTGCAATACAACGAGATCCACGGCAACTTGCTGGTCAAATCATTGGGAGACTACAGGGAATTGTTAACAGAGATGTTCCTTCGACACCCGGTGATCCCCCTCGCTACCCGTTTATACATTCGATGGTTACGCAAGCAAAGAATACGTCAATTCCAGCACTTGTACCGTCTATAGGTTGTCTGACAGAACCTGGAGGGATACTGTATGATCTCCTGTCAGGTCACACGAAACTTATTACTGCAGTAACAACGACAACAGATGCACAAAGAGCTTTGACTGCATCAGCAGACAATACGTTAAAGGTGTGGGATTTAAAGAGCGGAAAAGTAACATCGACAATTGATAACTTTGGGGAAAATGTATCAAAACTTCGAACTGCCTTTAATAACAAATTCGTCGTGTCAGTAGAAGGTAGCATAATAAAAGTATGGTCACTTGTTGATAAAGAATGTTGTTTAGTCGTTGATCAGTATTTAGATCCTCCTGTTTTAAGCATTGCTGGTGAAGGAAAACTCCTTGTTGCTTTCTTTGACGGCGTGAACGCTCTGAAAACATGGGACCTCAGTGATAATTTCAGACATATATGTGAAACGAAGGTTGAAGGTGAGCGTGTGTTTAGTGACAATGCTGTTGTACTTGCTCCTAATTCTTACGGCGACTATGTGTTACTTGCATTTAGGGGAGCAAACTCAGCCATCATTCAACATGCACGGACTGGTAAAATTCTACATAAACTTAAATGCCATGACGATTCTTCCTCCATAGTTGCTTTGGCAATCACGCGTGACTACATGATCTTGGCTTGCAGACAACACTACATGAAACTTCACGAGATTCATCAACTTGAAATGTTTGATGCAAAGAAAGGGAAGTATTTACGCAGCATTCGAGGATGTACACAAGATATTATCACAGAAATGCATATCAATCTTGTTGGTTCCCATGCGATAGTAATATGTGCTTCTGAAACGAGCAATTCTTCAAATATAGCTATTTGGAATCTTGAAACAGAAGACCACAAACATCTCGCAAAACATTCTGGAGTGTCTACAGTTGGCGCATGCGCGGACTTTCGGTATTGTCTGACTGCTCAAAAAGGTGATAGCACTCTGAAAATCTGGAATATTAGTAAATATATCAATCAGCCAATGCCAAAAATGAAAAGATCTTTAGGTGTTGCTGAAATCCATCCGATGATAGATAATCCACGCTACGCGATTGCCAGACAGGTTAATCATGGGCCAATAAGTATTTGGAATGTTGCAAAAGCAAAATGTCTTGCAAGCGCTGTCCGGATAGAGCGTGGACTCTCAGAGCATTCTGATGTTGTATTAATAAGAAACTGCAAAGTTGTCATTTTGACAGAGAAGGGTCTGAAGGATTCAAAACCAGTATTCAAGACGGTATTGGTATACGATCTTCGTGCGAAGCGTTACGTTCAGAAACTCACTCAGTGTTTCATTGTGCCATCTCCTGCACACGAGTATGTCCTACTGGATGACGAAACTTTATTGGGACCTGCTGAGACAAGAAACCACTTTATCATCTGGAGTTTAGCTACTGGGAAAGAGTTATTCCGGATACGACCTAAGCTAAAAGACACTGATCTTAGAAATGGTGTAAAAGAAGCCGATCTTGAACACTCCCTTCAACTAAGAGCAAGCACAGCGAAACTCACCCCTTGGGATAGAAGAACAGAAAGTAACGCTGCTAGGCAGAAACGCCGAGAGAAGGCACGTGAGGAAGAAAGAAAGAATCTTGAAGAAATTCTTAAGGAAAAGAAGAACGGATTTGAACAATTTATTATAAGTGGAGACTTGAATGTTATCGTTGCATCGTTCTTTGCTCACCACTTATGCGTCTTCAATGTCGGTTCTAAACTGCATACAAAAACATTAGAAAGCAGTAGCTCTATGCTGTTTCTTCATGTTGCTGCACTGAGTTATGATGGTAGTTGTCTTGTACATGCAAACTATGACGAAACATCGAAAGTGAGCTATGTAACGTTGTGGGATACGGAATCAGGACAAGTGAAGAAACGACTAAAGAACGAAATTGATGTTCTTGCTATAGCTATCACTGATGACGGTTCCAGAGTCGTTTTTGGAAAAGCCAACAAGGAATTGAGAATATGGGATCCAAACAGAAAAACACCTGATGCAATGAAAAGAATAAAGGGTTACGACAGTTTGGAGTTTAGTGTTGGAAGCAAAATATTTACTCTCAATAACGGAAAACGTGCTGTTGTTTTCGCAGGAGATATTTCTGTATGGGACTTGGAAAATGCTACCCTCCTAGCTGTTTTTACACCCGATACACGAATAGAGGTTGTCAATGTTGTCATGAGTGGTCAATTGATTACCATTGGCGTGCATGAGTTTCCCGAACTCGTTGTTTTGAAAATAAGTGGCAGGGATGTGAAATCGATTGTTGATAGTGAATATGAGGACTTGTTTGGAGAAACAACTGGTGACACTTCCGACGAGGAAGAGGACGAGGATGATGAAGACGTATAAACTTATTTGAGATCATTAAATCAAATTCGAAGATTAAATTGACTATCTGTAATAGCTAAATTTAGTTAGCAAAACACTTGTTAATTTTGCATACTTGTTAAGACTTTTGGAAAACAGCTTTGTTATCAAGCTAAAACTATATATCATTAGTTTTGTTTTTAATTTGTAGACGTTGGTGCATTTATATTGATTGACATAAATATATGCATTTTGTTTATTGTGACCTCTGTTCTGTGATATGTTAAAATGTGATAAATGATAAGTACATTTATTTACTTTCTACGCTAATCTTTTTACAACGATGAAAATAGCGTGTTCTTAGTAAACACAAATAAAACTATGTTATTATAGGTACATGTATTTATGTAATACATATTATATCAATAATGTTTTTTTTCTTTTATGTTCTTTCTTCCAGGTGCTTTAGTATTATCTATTTTTTACAATTTATATAATTGTTTGGTTTTCATAAAGTATATTTATAAAGTACATTTATATTTACACATATTTTTTTTCTTAAAATGTATTTTATATTTTACAATAAAATTATTTTGTGATAAATGAGACTGTATTACTTTATGTGATATTATTATACATTTTTTCTTTGTTACTTTTGTATTTGAAATAAACACATTAATACAGGCACGCACATCAACATAATTAAAAATAGGCATATTATAATTAAGCCCATGTATTAAGTAAGATAACCGTAATATTCAACTTTTCTAAGCCTCTTTTGAAATGTCAATATAAGATCCATTTACATATAGATGTATTTTGTTCATAAACAAGGTATGTTAGATGAGTTGCGATAAACAAGTTTTCTTTTTTCTAATCAAGAAAACCTACTACATTTGTAGTTCCGAAAGCTATCATTAAGTCTACAAATACGTTATTGCCATTTTAAGTCAAATTATAATACCACACCTTCGGATACCAGCCCGTTTATTTCTTTGCATGCTTCAGTTGATAATCTTCTAAAAAGGGAAATATTTTTCTACCGTACATTGTTCATGAACTTATTTCTAATTTTGTCAATTTCAGTCACTATTTAAATATGTGCACGTTTTTGTCTCTAAATTTGCAATCGTGATTTTATAATACACTCGTTTTTGTCCTAAACAATAACTCATTGATTTGCAATATTCGTACCAGTATTTATATGCTTTTAGTGTATGCTCAATAAAGTTACAAGTCTTACCATTTATTTATCATTTATTTATGTTTCAAAGTAGAACATATCACACGGGTTGAAATTCTCAACTAATGTTTTGAATTTATTTCATTTTTTTGTGGTTGGTTGAACCAATTACATTAATTTTGAAAATAAGCTCTCAATAATGCTCTTTAGGAGTGTGCTTAAACTTGGTAAAACATTGATCTTAACGATTGGCTCAACGTGTACAGTTGACTGCATTTAGCCATTTACCACTGCTGTCAATGTATAAATCGAGATTGCAACAATTTCTTCTACTTTCGTCTTTTGCAGGCAGCTTTGCCAGCATGATGCATGTCGCACGTCGTTTGTCGTTCTCAACATTTGTAAGCTACATGGTTGCTTTTGACCAAAGTTCAAAGAAATTTACCCTCTCCATAAGTTAAAAAAGCTAGTCTTATTCACAAGTAGGTCACAGATGCTAATGAAATACTTTTAAAATAAAATCTTCTACGATCTTTACCTCCAAAACTACAACTCCAAGAGCTTAGAAATTTGACAGGTAGCATCTCTTACTGGTCCTCTTAAGAAATTATATTAAATTGCCCCTTGGTTCAAAATAATGGCTATACTGGGATTTACTTAAAGAACATAGACTTGTATAATAAATATGTCAAAAAATCCCACACACAAAGTAATGTCCAAGCTCATATTTTAGCACAAAGCAAATACTTGGCATCCTCTACAAAGTTATGTATCACGGGTCAAAATTGACTTGTTCCCTTTGGTAATTTTTTCAGTCAGTCATATGTAGGAAAACACATTAAACGCGTTATTGTATGAAGAAACAACGTCCTAATATATAGGAAAGCATGTTTCTTTGTTTAGCGGATCTCTACAAAAGTTATAACAATCATGCAACTAGGATAAAAATGACACTGTCGTTTACTTTAAATAGACTTACATATATAGCAATTATGCCTACCACTCCTCCGAAACTATAAGGTCTAGAGCACAGACCCCCATAATGGGGGGGGGGGGGTTACGTATATTTGCGTTAAGTTTTCTTTTAAAGATTCTTAGGGTAGGGCTAGATTTAGCATCTTCAGACAGAATGTCAAATCTCTTATTACGGAGGGTAGAAAGGAGTCTTTATATAGCTGAGTTCTAGCATGAATGTTATATATATAGGAATGTCATTAGTGTTTCGGAGTTGATATCTTGTTAGTGTTTGGTTAGAAAAATATTCTGGTGTGATATTGTTTTTCATTTTATACAATATTATTTATTCATGATTTTCCCTTCGTTCTGGTAAAGTTTCCCATTTCAAATCGTTATATAATTTTTCTATGCTCCAGTGACTATTCTTGCAGCTTGTTTGAACAGCCAAAATGCTAAGTTTTTCTGATTGTGTACAACTGTCCCAGACGGTATTACTATATTCCAAGAAACGTCCTACAGAAGAAAAATATAAAGTTTCCGAAGATTTCCTATTTAGCGTAAATTAAACCAAACTGCACATTGGGCGAAATAGAGACAACCAGACTTTATCTTCTCTACTGTCCTATCTTTGACACTATCAGACTAGCCCTCTTATCCAACTTACCTTGCCCAACGACTTTTCAAAATCTTTTAACGGATCTGAGAACCTTAATAATGTTGATAATACAACTGTTTTTAACTTTATTGTCGACGTCGTAGCGGCCCGATATTATTGTATACCATAGTAATTTACACCACGCTATCTAAGAACAAAACTCCAAGCACTGTGTCAGCAAAACCTAATAATAGTTATTATTAAATATATATACATCCTTACACATTACATTACTTTTCAAATATCAGCCTTTCTTCTTCCAACACCTTAGGAGATGAATCAACATAAGTATTTGATACTTATTTTCATATCAAATTCCAAAATGTATAAGAAATATATTGTGGTGTTCTTTTTTTCTTTTCATAATGCGTTAATATATGTATAACAAACTCAATACTATTTGTAATGTACTACCATGTATTATTTTGTGAACAAAATATTGTTTAAACTAGCTTTTGTAGATGCCCACAATGTGATGTTACATGCCAAATATCTAAGCTCTGGACATTGCAGTTTCTGAGTGCTTGGCATTTTTGCAAAGTTCTTTAAAGATCCTTCAATGTCTGACAAAGTTACAGTCCTGACACGAATGTTGTGTTAGTGGATATGTACAGACAGACGAATGCTGCTATTTTAATATCCCGCCTGCAATCCGGTCAACTCGTCCCCTGGTCAACTCGTCCTCTGGTCAACTCGTCACCTTTTTGGTCAACTCGTCCCCTACTTTTGGTCAACTCGTCCTCAAAGAGTAAACTCGTCCCTAATATGGTCAACTCGTCCCCTACTTTCGATCTTTTCGTCACTATTATGTTGTAAATCAATGTCTTTAAATAGTTCTTTTATGTAAAATTAATAATGAATTTGATTGATATCGAAATATTAATAAAATAACGTTTTTTTACGTACAATCGTGCTGCTGTGGTCCAAAATAGAATGCCGAAATGTGACCTACTTCTGCATCAAACATTTATGACTATTTCTAGCAATTGATAACAAGTCAGTGATCCACGCTTATTTTGGCGCTCTTGTTACTATTTTCGTCATATTTACTAGTGTCTAATCTAATTCATAAATCATGAAATAATAGCCGCTTCTTCACATTTTACGTGGACGGACTGTATATTGTTTGTACATATGTTCTGCCTTCGCTTATCGGGGCAGAATCTTTCACAATGGGGAATATCTAGATATAAAAATATAAGAAAGTTTAATCCACTTTTCCAGCTTTTATTTAATTTGTTAACACATATAGTTTAATCAGGCAGAATGATCTAACATAATAACATAATATTTAAATTCTGACATATCAATGAAAGTAAGTTTTACATTCATTTACTTGAATTGCTTATAAGACAAAAATAGATATTATTCAATATATTAAGTAACATCTTGTTACCTGAAGTTTTTAACAAAGTTTTTAACATAATATTCACAATAAGAACAGCTAAGTGTTCTTAACTAAATTTAAGTTGTTTAACATCAAACATTTACAAAATGTACATAGAATAAAATACAACTTACCTAGATATAAAAATATAAGAAAGTTTAATCCACTTTTCCAGCTTTTATTTAATTTGTTAACACATATAGTTTAATCAGGCAGAATGATACTGCCAGCTGGAAAAGGGATCTTTTAAGGGGTTCTCTCACTGTCCATTGGTTTATCTTAGTTGACCAATAATTAAACATTATTTCTAGAGAGGCGGAACTGCAAGACCTGGCTTAAGTCTGAAAATACTTGAGAAATAACTTACATATTTTCTAATCACTATTTGTAAATTTAATTGTCTATGTTTTTTAAAAGAATAAAGTTTATCACAGATGTTAATATAACAAGCATTTTGCAATTCTTTGTCTAGTGTAAAAGGTTTTTAGCACATTGGCTTCTCTGTAACAACATGTCACCTATTTGAGACATTCTAATTGACCACCTAAATTTACTTGAGATTTAACAAAGAAAAAGGGTATAATTTAGTTTTATCATTTATAGATTTATGCCTAATTTTGAAATCAGAAAATACAAAATAAAATTTAAAATGAAATTCAATACAAATATTTCACTCACTTATTTAATATACACAATATAAAATATAACAAGAAAATAGCTAATTTTTCATAGCATGACACATAACCTATAATGATGTGAATTAAAAACAAAACATATAAATTAATATTTTGTACTTTATTCTTGTTTATATGAATCAAAAAAAGGTATGATGACTACATATCTGGAAATGTTGTAAAAATAACATTGTAATGGTGGTAAATAACAATTCATAATAACAAACATACAAATCCTGTATCACACATTATGACAAAAATTGTAGTTATATCACAAATATTTTGATTCCATCCGCTATAAATCACGAATATCAGTTACACCCTGGTATGTTATGGCAAGTTTCCGCTAAAGAAAATTGCTTATTTCGAATTTTCAAAGGGCCATTAACTAAAATATTAAAAACATGATTTTAGTAATATTAAGAATCATGTGTGTATCATTCAAGCATTTATAGTTTGAAACACTACTGTTCAAATACATTAAAAATCACTAACTTGCCGAAACCTAAAAGATTAAAAGTCAGAACGGAAAATTCAAATGTTTCCTTGCAATACCTTTTAAATGAAAAATTACATAATGAATGAAATAGGGACATGAGGGTGGTCAGAACTGGCCATCAGAGTTAAAAGGTTGTGATCCGTAAAAAATATAATGAGCTGTGTCACGACAAAACCAACATCGGCGCAGTCTGATCAGGATCCATGCTGTTCGCTATCAGTTTCTCTACTTGTAATAGGGTTAGTAAGCGAACAGCATGGATCCTGATCAGAATGCGCAGATGCGCAGGCTGGTCTGGATCCACGCTGGTCGCAAACGCACTATGTTGGTTTTGTCATGATGCGGCTCATATGATGATTTATCATTATCAGTCATGTAAAACATTCTTATCTATTACACTCTGAACAAAAAAAACCCTAAAAAGACTTTATTTTCCAGATATTTCTTGTTTTGGTGTCCCTTTCAGGTGATTTTTTTCATGCAAGATACCGGTACCTCCAAAAGAGGACCAGCCATGTAAGCAATAAATTATGTTAAATGTTCAACTGATATGCCACTGACTTAACATGTAAAAACAAATAGAGAATAATAAATCATTAAGCTTCAATATAATTGTTAAAACAGTTCATTTTCAAAAGTTATATTGTAACAACTTTGGCCCTAAAAATTTGACTTAAAAAAAGGTGCATATATTCTCACACTCCATTTAAATTTTTGTAAAACTGTTACTCAATCAAACTAAAAATTCATTTATATCATATGATATGAAACAGCCAATTAAATAAATAAATATGTGTGATATACAGTGATGTATAGTCCCTTTGGTAAATAAATAATTCCGAGATCATGGTATTGTTTGATTTAAGTATACATGCAGATGCATTTGCCTCCTATTGACAAGATTATTTGTATATTTTTTTAAAGGAGTTCCACTCGAATCCAAGAGCCTAAAAACATAATTGAATTTCTAAAATTGATCAACTTGTGCACTTAAATGGAAAGATATGCAAATGATACTAAAGAATTACACTCAAAGTTAAATTAAAAATAGTATTTTTGTGGGATTCTTTGCCTGATTTAAGTTAAAAATTCAATTTGGTCATTTTTCACAACTAAAATAATCATTTGTAAAATAACTAATTGAGCAAAAGACCTGAAATTTTGAACACAAGATATCGGTAACCACATTACATAAAATAGTATATGAATCTCAAATACATATCAAAAGATTCGTAACCTCAAAAAAACTCAGTGGTATCCCTTTAAAAAACCTACTCTGATATTCAGACCTACTTTGAAATTGAACACTTATATAATGACTGCCACATGGGTTGATATGAGCAAAATATATGTCCAATGCCCTTAGACATTTAAAATAAAGTTAGTGATGATATATTATTAAAAGTGATATGAAAACAAAGAGACAACACATTAAGAATAGGCAAGACATTATCTATATTTTTATGAAAACAAATTTCAAAAAAAAATGAAACAAATAAACAAAGTTTTGTTATTTTAGACTGACTGGAAAACAAAACATATAATGCAGTATGTGTAACAATTAAGAGACACTAAAAATACTTCCAGCTCAACTTTTCTATTATTCAAATGTTTGAAAAATAAAAACATGTATTACAACAGCTTTACACATCAATTCTAAACAGAGCATACTCTAAAAAGTAATTGAAATTATAGGTCTTTACCTATATAAGAATATGTTTTTTACTTTCATAAAGTATCAACTAATCTGAAACAGAAAAACCAATGTTATTGCACCCATTTTGAGTGAAGCAACAGTTACAAAAAAACAATATACATGAATGTATGACCTTTTGGTCTATATAAAATATTTTTCTTCTGTTCATACACTATTAATAAATGGAGGAAAATCAATGAATTTATACATACTACAATTATTCTAATATCTGAATTTTTTAGAAAAAAAAAAAAACAACATTGCATTGAACATGTTTACATTTTAAATTACCTTACATCAATGAAATGCACTCGTTTCACAACATGTTATGGATTAATTTTACAATTAAGCAATAAATCTATGATAAAAAAAATGATACAGACAAAATGTGTACATTCAAAATGAGATGACTAGAGGAAGGGTTTAAGAATAGAGAAACATTAAGACAGTAAAAAGAAACATATAAATATAGATAAAAGAATGATGAAATAAAAAGTAAATAATATGTAAGAATCATGTGGGGTAAAAAGTCTGTCTAATAAAGGTTAAATAAAGATAAAGCTATGAAAATATTTTTTGCATTTTTTTTTTAAATATGAAGGTTACGACAAACAAAATTTATTCAGAAAGTTCCTGAGAAATTTCGGTGATTTACAAATGGTCCTTCAATATGGTCCTTTATTTCTTATGTGTATGATCCTGATATGGATTTCTAAGTGTCTGACACTGATTTGGATTTATTAAAGTGATGATAATTTCTTTTTTGCAATGTCAATGTGAGCTGCATTGACTTTATAATTCAAAAGATTTACTGTTATTATTGTGACTGACCAACAACTGATATCTAAAAATGTTAAGGATGAAATGTACATTGTATTTTGATCTAAAATATAAAGAGACTGCCCCATCCTTTTTTACAAAATGAATGTTGCAGGTAAATTCTGGTGGATATTTACAAAAATTTCCATTGGCAAGGTTAGTTATTTATCGTTCATACAAAGTAAATAATAAAAATTGAAAGGAATTATGGCAAAATGAAAACATATTTTGACTGTTATTTGTTCACTCAACAAAATTAATGCCCTTAAAATGCAAGAAAACTGTATATACGTGGCTCTATTTTATTAATGTACAGTATGCATAAAAATTTAACAAACTCATTGCAACAACAATAGATAGAGGAATATATTAACCATTTATATAAAAAAGAAGATTACTGAATATATTATGTTCAAGTTTCTATTGGAAAATTTTGAAAGTTTAAAAAAATACAATAAAGGGAAAGACAATGCAGAAAAATAGATCATTCATTAGGCCGTAAGTTCATACAAAATGTGAGATTTCATGTTTGTAAATAATATGAGCCGCGTCACGACAAAACCAACATAACGCGTTTGCGACCAGCATGGATCCAGACCAGCCTGCGCATCCGTGCAGTCTGATCAGGAACCATACTGTTCGCTATCAGTTTCTCTACTTGTTATAGGTTTTGTAAGCGAACAGCATGGATCCTGATCAGACTGCACGGATGCGCAGGCTGGTCTGGATCCATGCTGGTCGCAAACGCATAACGTTGGTTTTGTCGTGACGCGGCTCAAATCTATTGACTGAAGTTAAAAGATGTTAAGATTGCTAACTTATCCAAGCATTTACATAATTGAGAGTTGGACTCTTTAAAACCCTAGGGCATAAAAATATTCTTTGGTATGTTACAAATAGAACAAAAATTAATACTCTCAAATACTAATCTTGAATAATTCATACTGGAAGATTCAATGTGCTTTGATTAGCTTGTGAACTTTTTAAGTTATGTAAACAAGAAAAATTGGAAACATTACAAATTTCTGTAGCTGCTGTTTTGTTTTGGATTATTTACTCTAGCATAATCCATATGAGCATATAAGAGCACCTCAGCAGCAATAAGAATACCGTACATCCATGTAGGAAACAATGAAAAAGCATGAACTATCTATATACACTAGTCTATCGTATACATAATGTAAAATGTGGCTGTTTTTCATTTCCAATAATGTGAACAATACTATTAAGGAGACACAGTAAAGATGATACATGTATTGTATGGTGACTTTCCAGATAAACTGCATAACTTAAGCACAAGCCAGTACCTGTATGTAGCACCACTGGTGTTCAGTAAGCTAGCTCAATAACTTCCTCACTTGATCTTAACTGAGAGGATAATCTTACACAAGGTATCTACTGTATATATTTATCAAAATTGATTTAAACTTGTCAATATCAAATGTTCTATGTACTGAAGACAGCCATTAAAAAAAAACTTTGTCATGTTTTCAAGTTTAGATCTTCTGTAAAAAGGTTGCATGTTTAATAACTGTACATATAAAAACAAAATTTTAAATAACTTGTATGTAATATTCATGATTTAAAAAGAAATAATCATTGTTTATTAAAAAAAATAGTCTATTTCACTTTTCTTTTTCTGTTTTAATAGCTGGTACATAGGTCCTGTGGAAAAACTGACTATAACAGTTTGATGCCCCGGATTGCTAGTAAATACTAACAAGTCAGTTAGATGATAAAGTAAAAAGTCATGACTTCCTTTGTTTAAATAAAATATAACAAAAAAATACAAACAATGTCATTGGAATGCCATGCATATTCAGTACATCATATAGATAAGTAGATATTTTACGCTTAACATAATAATAAGTGTCCTTTCCTTTATAAATAACAACCCTTTTTTTTAATCAAGGGTCTATAATTCACAAAATAATATCTACTTATAATTCATAGTCCTAAATCAATATTCACACATTGTTATACACTGTCACTGCTGTATTAACACTTTCAATTATACCCACCTAAAAAGTCAGCAATACTCAAATGGTGTTTACAAATATTTTTACATTTTTTACAGTATTCAAGGTCAAATCGAGACAGGATAGTTTATCACTAAAATCAATAAGAATAATAAATAATCTTACAAATAACACAAGAGCAATCAGTGAGCACATGTCAATTGCATGTTGCAGCTACTGTGTATTCAACGGCCATAACTGGGCCAGAAATCATTTTATTCGAAAACCAAAGTAATATGTGCAAGTTCTTAAGCTATCAATCAATCCTGTAAAGATTCATACAAATTGCATCAGTGGTTTAAGAGGAGATGTCCAGACAAATTTCATAAATAAAAATCAATAAAGGGCCATAACTCTGACAAAAATCATTGAATCGGAAACTGCAGAGGATATGCACAGCTAGACTTGTACTGATCATTCCTGTATAGTTTGGATGAAATTGAACAAGCATTTTTTTAAGGAGAAGTTTGTTGGACAGACAGATGTCCTCAAATTTTGATATGACATTTATAGATGGACCTTTTTTGCACGCAGAAGTTCCCCAGGGAAAGTACTATATTTAAGTGGTTACTCTTTTTTTCTCTCTGTTGTTCTTTTAACCACATAAGAGAAAATGTAGCCACATAAAAGCTCACATAATGAATTACATCAAATGAAATGTTCTGTTATTTATTGTTCCAATTCTAAGCCCCCTTCAAAGTATCTACTTGTTTCAACAGATGGACAAACCGACAGACAGAAAACAAAGAAGTGATCCCTAAATGTGGCAACTACTCTGTAGATGAGACACAAAAATTCATTAGAAAAACTCCAGTTTGCAACAATTAATTGATATAACAAAAAAAAAAAAACTAAATATGAATGAAAAAATCAAGTTATCCAGAACTGAAGTTCATAACAAATCATTGTTTTTTACCTCCTTGATATGAATGTTTTATAGAATTTTAGAGAGACAAAATGATGTTAACATAAAAATGATAAAAATTCATAACCAAGTTAAGTTAATTGCCACGAGTGTATAAATGCAAAAATCACAAACCTTCAACAATATGATATTCACTGAAAGTAGATCTAATAAGAAAATATCAACACAACAGCTGTATGTAAAAAGAATTAACTTTGGCAGTTACTCCTAATTAAATTAAATAAATAGTCATATCTAAATATAAAGAATCTAGAAATCACTGTTGTTCATTATCAAAAGCATAGCAGTTTACTCTATATACATTCAGGCAAACACCAACCTTTTTTACTTTTTTGACATATCAAAACAATATGAATAAACTTGGCAGACAGTCACCTAGTAATCATTTCAAATTCATTATATTAAGATAAACAAGAGGGCCTTGATGGCCCTGACATTGCTCACCTGAATATAAAAAATCTCCATGACAGGAACAAGTAAGTAATATTGTAAACTATAAACAAAGCAGATATAAAATCTAAATATCTGATATCACAAAGTTCATATTTGTTTCTGAAAAAGTGCATGTGTAAAACATTACTGGTTTCTATTGTTAAGGGAAAACAACAGTTCCAAAGACAAAGATGTGTACATTTAAGGAAAATCAATAACCTCCCCCCCCCCCCCAAGGGTGGTCCCAATTTGACCCAAGGGCTTTTATTTGAATAAACTTGGTAGAAAGCAATAAGAAGATTTTCATGCTTAATATCTAAGCTCTAGCAGCTCTTTGGTTTTTTTTAAAAAAAGAAGATTTTTCATGTTTTTTACTATATACACATAAAGAAAATCTATGTCCCCCACAGGGCAGGGCCAATTTTAACCCCAGGGCATTTATTTGAAAAAACTTGGTAGACACCCATTACAAGATGTGCCATGCTTTATATCTAAGCTCTAGCTCTTTGGGTTGCCATGTTGCATCCAAAGTTCTGTATAGAATCAAATTCTTTGAACAATTTTTAAAGGTGACCTGGTGACCAAAAGAGCATTCCTGTGAAGTTTGGATAAAATTGGCTTTGTGGTTTATGAGGAAATGTTGTTTAAAGAAAGTTTGCGGATGGACAGACAAATAGACGGACGACAGACAAATTGTGATAAAAAAGCTCACTTTGTCACTTTGTGATAGGTGAGCTAAAAATCAGAAGTGATACTGCCTAATATCATTACCATGTTTCTGATGGCTTGAATTTATTTAAAAATCAAATGTAAATATTTTCATGAAAAAACTTATAGGACACTTATACTAATGTTTGTTTGTTTGTTTGTTTCATTTTACGCCTTTTCCCAACAGTATTTCAGTCATATAGGCGTTATACTAATGTAATTATAACAAACTTACATATAATTATATTACGCAATTATATATAACGCAATTACATACATGCATATCCACATATGCAAAGATAACAGTTACATATAATCATCTACACATGCTAATTTAACACAATGGTTAAAAAGACATAGCATTTACAAGGTTCACTATATTAATTTTAACACAATGGTTAAAAAGACATAGCATTTACAAGGTTCACTATATTAATATTTTTGGAAAATAAGTAAGAATTTTGCACATGTTAGCTCAATACATCCTTATTGCATTTCATTCATTCAACAACTTATATAACATAAAAACAAAAAGTAAAAAAACAACTATTAAAGCACTGTAGACTATAAACTTTCAACACTTGTTCTTTTAATGATTTTTTATATATTTTTCTAAAAATATTTACTAACTGAAGAAACAAGTTTTGGTCATAAAGCAGTTCAATCTCACACAGATCATCTCCATATAACCCAGTTTTCTCATATCACCAAGAGACAAATGACTAAACTGTCTCGGAACTCTTAGTAGCATATATATATTGTAATTTTTTACCCTGATACACAGAAGAAATGAACTTAATCTTCAAACTTCATCTTATAAACACTGCTGTTCTTTACAAAATGCACTTTTCAAATTGTGTTCTCGACACAAGTTACAACAAGGTTCAACTCACATAACACCACATTTAGATGCATTTGGCTTGTTGTCTTTATTCAAAGGCTTCTGCGACTCATTCAGCTCATCTTTATTTCCTATAAATACACAACAAATTGGATACATATCATCAGCAAGAAAAATGTTCTTTGCTTATCTGGCTGTGTATAAGCTTTCATTGTGAGCTCCTATCCTATTTTTTATTATTTCAAGTCACAATATAAATGTCGCACTGCAACTTTACAACTTGACTGTTGGAAGATAACCTCAAGGTCCCCTTCATCATGCATCATTTCAGGCACAAGCCAGCACATGAGTAGAACCACCCACCTTCCGTAAGTTAGCTGGATAGCTTCATCACAAGACAGGATGTAAAATCCTTGTAAGCTCTTACAACCTCAGCTGTGAGAACAGGGCTTTACATTTACCTTTAACATGTCCAAAGCTCTAACATCAGCTTTACAATCCTGTACAACTACATGACTTTGAATTCAAACCTGTGATCTACCGTTATATTGTAACTTGTCGCCTTCATATTCGGACTTGTACTACAGTTTTGCATTTGCAATTGATATTTGAAGGAACAAAGTCAAATAATACACATTACCTGCATATTGCAATCCATCCATGAGTCAAGTTTCATGAAAATATTCAAAGTACTCCTAAATTATTGCAGTATCCAGTGTTTAGAGAGAGACAGAGTGACCAACGTTCAAACAAAATGGCACTTGTGTGGATATTCAACTGTTCCACACTGTATTAGCAACATAAAACTGTTTAAGCTACAAATTACTTTTACTGAATGAAATGTATTATCAGAAATTTACCGTTACCTATTGTTCACATAGCCACTTTAGTACTTATTTTTCTGAACAAACACCTAGTGTACATGGACAGACAGACATTTCTACCAATGGACATTAACTGGACACTTCTTTCATTGAAATATACCAAGTAAGACCTTTAAAGTATTCTACAATACTGACAAAAGGAAAAGAACTGTTACCAATTGCTCTTGGTACCCAACATATGTCCTGTAATTATCCTGGACAAAAAGACAGATAGAGGGCAGACCTAGGTCTAACAAGGAAAAACTTTAAACTCTAGTGAGACTTTTGAAAATCAGTACTAAAAACAATTTTTACAACATACCAGTAGCATCTGATAAAACTGAGAAGAAAACTTAAACAAATTGAAAGAAAAATGAGCCACTACCTAGTTGAGGCCACCCTCCATGTTTTCTTATTTCTAAAGTAAAAAATCAAAGGGAGAATATTATAGGAAAGATTTGTCCTAGAAATCTAATTTTTTAGTAAAAAAAATAGTTAATATCTCATTCTTAACAATCAAGGTTATTCAAAGCTCAAGGTTACATTGGAAATAATCATAAGTGCTGTCATAAATGTTCTGTTTTTCCAAGAATTAATCAAATTGATTAATAAATATCTCATGACAATTTGAGCAAATATCAAGGCCAAAGACTTTCTCCTTTGGGTAGTTGTTCTCAAGTATTGAGAAAATCCAAGAATCAATAACAAAGTTAAGGCCAATTATAGCAAAAAATCAAGCAAAATTCCTTAATTTGACCTTCAAGGTCATTGATGTGTGAAGGTCAAACTCAATATGGTCTACTTGAAGCTCTTTGTGTTAAGGGTTATTGTGTCTTAAAGTATGAAGACAATCCATTTGTAATTAACAGAGTTATAGCCAATTATAGCAAAGACCAAGCAACTTCAAACATTTGACATTGAAGGTCAAGGTCATTTTTGAGTCAAGGTGAAGAAAATTCTGATCTATTTGAAGGTCTTGTTCAGAAGATTGTTGTGTCAAAGTATGAAAGTAATCTATAGAGAAATAAACAACAGCTTTTCCAAGACAGCAAGCTCCATTTTTCTCAGTACTTGATAGTTGAAAATATATTAAATATAAAATAATTCTGCATTTTTAGCAGAGAATAAGTCTGCTTTTAATAGCCAACAAAAAATTTAAAATGATACCTGTAACGGTTTTTGAGTAAAAGGAAATATTCCAAGTCAAAAAGGGAAATAATTAAGCAAAAGTGGTTTTCCTGATTATCTGCCCCTCAGTAATGCATTTCAAATTTGTAAGGACTCCAAGTCAGAAGAAAGTACATTCGATACTTTTTTGAGATAAGAAACCTTAAACAAAATGTTAACCAAAACAAGAGGGCCATGATGGCCCTGAGGTCGCTCACCTGTATATAGACCCCCCCCCAAACCCCCCCCCCCTAACGTTGCAGGGCCAATTTAACCCAAGGGCTTTTATTTGCACAAACTTGGTAGACACCCATAAGAAGATGTTTCATGCTAAACATCTAAGCTCTAGCTTATTGGGCTTTTTAAAAGAAGATTTTTTTTTAAGTTTTTACTATACACATATAGTTAAAAACAATGACACCCCTGGGGCCGGGCCAGTTTTGACCCCAGGGCTTTTATTTGAACAAACTTTGTAGACACTTACTAGAAGATGTTTCTTGCTTAATATCTAAACTCTAGCTATTTGGGTTTTTTCAAAGAAGATTTTAAGTTTTTGCTATACACATATAAAGAAAATCAATGACCCCCGTGGCGGGGCCAATTTTGACCCCAGGTCTTTTATTTGAACAAACTTTGTAGACACTCACTAAAAGATGTTTCATGCTTAATATCTTAACTCTAGCTATTTGGGTTTTTTTAAAGAAGATTTTTTAAGTTTTTGCTATACACATATAAGGAAAATCAATGACCCCCGGGGCGGTGCCAATTTTGACCCCAGGGCTTTTATTTGAACAAACTTGGTAGACACTTATTAGAACATGTTTTATACTAAATATCTTAGCTCTAACTCTTTTGGTTCTTTAAAAGAAGATTTTTTAAGTTTTTGCTATACACATATAAGGAAAATCAATGACCCCCGGGGCGGTGCCAATTTTGACCCCAGGGCTTTTATTTGAACAAACTTGGTAGACACCTATTAGAACATATTTGATGCTAAATATCTTAGTCATAGCTCTTTGAGTTCTTTAAAAGAAGATTTTTTAAGTTTTTACAATATGCATATAGGGAAAATCAATGACCCCCCGGGGCGGGCCAATTTTGACCCCAGGGCTTTTATTTGAACAAACTTGGTAGACATTTATTAGAACATGTTTTATACTAAATATCTTAGCTGTAACTCTTTTGGTTCTTTAAAAGAAGATTTTTTAAGTTTTTACTATTTGCATATAGGGAAAATCAATGACCCCCTGGGGCGGGGCCAATTTTGACCCAAGGGCTTTTATTTGAACAAACTTGGTAGACACCTATTAGAACATGTTTCATGCCAAAAATCTAAGCTCTGGCTCTTTGGGTTCTTTAAAAGAATTTTTTTAAAGTTTTTACTATATGCATATAGGGAAAATCAATGACCCCCCGGGACGGGGCCAATTTTGACCCCAGGGTTTTTATTTGAACAAACTTGGTAGACACCCATTAGAACATGTTTGATGCTAAATATCTTAAATCTACCTCCTTGGGTTCTTTAAAAGAAGATTTTTTAAGTTTTTACTATATGCATATAGGGAAAATCAATGACCCCCCCCCCCCCGGGGCGGGGCCAATTTTGACCCCAGGGCTTTAATTTGAACAAACTTGGTAGACACTTATTAGAACATGTTTCATGCTAAATATCTTAGCTCTAACTTATTTTGTTCTTTAAAAGAAGATTTTTTAAGTTCTAACTATATGCATATAGGGAAAATCAATGACCCCCTGGGGCGGGGCCAATTTTGACACCCAGGGCTTTTATTTGAACAAACTTGGTAGACACCTTTTAGAACATGTTTGATGCTCAATATCTTAGCCATAGCTCTTTGAGTTCTTTTAAAGAAGATTTTTTAAGTTTTTACTATATGCATATAGGGAAAATCAATGACCCCCTGGGGCGGGGCCAATTTTGACCCCAGGGCTTTTATTTGAACAATCTTGGTAGACACCCATTAGAACATGTTTCATGCTAAATATCTTAGCTCTAGCTCTTTGGGTTCTTTAAAAGAAGATTTTTTAAGTTTTTACTATTATGCATATAGGGAAAATCAATGACCCCCTGGGGCGGGGCCAATTTTGACCCCAGGGCTTTTATTTGAACAAATTTGGTAGACACTCACTAGAAGATGTTTCATGCCAAATATCTAAGCTCTAGCTCTTATGGTTTTTTAAAAGAAGATATTTAAAGTTTTTTCTTTCGGTTGCCATGGCAACCAGAGTTCTGCATGGAATTAAATTCTTTGAACAATTTTTAAAGGTGACCACCAAAGGAACATTCCTGTGAAGTTTGGATGAAATTAGCTTAGTGGTTAATGAGGAGATGTCATTTAAAGTAAAAGTTTACGGACGGACGGACGACGGACGGACGACAGACGAAAAGCGATCACAAAAGCTCACCCTGTCACTTTGTGACAGGTGAGCTAAAAATCAGTCAAAAAGTTGGCATTACTGTGAAAAAATAATTTATAAAGTTACCTGTCCTTTAAAGATGTATTCCAATTTAAAATTGGAACAACTTTTCCAAGTTTAGAAAAACAATTAAAGTGAAAAGGGGGCATAACTTTGCAAAAATGAATTAAAATATTTTTCTGCCCTTCAGAAATGGTAACATATTTCAATTGTGAACATGAATATCAAGTTTGAAATAACTGTGATAGTTTCTTAGAAAATGGATCTTAAGAATAAGGTTAACCAGGCCTAAAAATCTAAGCTGAGAAAGGGGCATAACTTTTACATAAAATAGTTTGAGGATTGTCAGCCCTTTTGAAATGGCATCTTTTTTATAGCACTGAACATGTCAGGCAAGTGTAAGGCACAGATTGTTTTACTTTCTGAGAAAATGGACCTGAATGATAGGGTTAACCAACACCAACAAGAGGGTCATGACAATAGCTAAAATCATTGTATGGATGGAAACAGGAACTAAATCCTGACTGTAGCAATGAATGAAAAATCTTATTTGATCTCTTCTCAAACCTCACTGAAAATGGAAAAATAATAAAAAGTATAGTAAAGAATACTATATGAAATAAATCTACACAAAACTCAAAACTAACCTTTACTTTCCCTTTTGAATTTTTTCTTGTAAATGCAACATCCTGCTATACCTGCTAAAACCACAAGCACAGCTATCACACCCCCAACAATAGCACCAACATGATTTGATTGACCAGAAATTGCTGTCCTCTCCTCAGCACCAGAATCTAACAAAACACAGTAAAATCAATCTAGAACTATATATTAAGATAAAATTGGTAAACATGCATATTAAATAATTACTGTACAAGGTACTAACACCTCTGAGAATACCACACATTACAAATTATGTTTGTTACTGAGTTTGAGTAAGTCTGTTCATAGATGGCTTTGATAGATAAACTGCTTAACACATATGAGTCAGTATTCACTAAAATCAAGTACAAAATATATAACTAAGATTTTTTTTGCACTGTTTTTCCATTTATATGATGTAAAAGAACAGCTCAGGACTATACTAACATACTATACATACTTGTAACCAGTTTAAGTTTATTAAGCTGAGTTATAACAGTATAGTGCTAAATCCCCTAAATTCGCTTTCTATACATTTAGTGAATACAAGGGTAATAACTCTTGAAATATTTATCATGGGTTATTATGACTCATAATTCTGTGATTTATAATGTTGGCATTGGACAAAAAGTGTCTGTTTATGAAAACAATTAACTTAGTCTTAAAGCATGTTACATGACAAAAGGTTTCAGTTGATTCTGAACAATGCAATTTATGTGTAGAACACAAAATAATCATAAAACAGTCTGGAGTTGACTGCCAGATATAATGCAGCTTGGACAATCATATCAATTTATTACCTGATACCTTATATAAATGTCATTTGGTATTTTTCACTTTTTCTGAAATTCTTTAAATGTCCACATTCACAAACTGATGACCGGTCAATAGTTTTTACTGTTTATCTCACTTTCTCTGACGTCAAAGAGGATTCCAGCTTAGAGCGTCATAAACCAGACATAACGTGACATAGTTTAAAGATTGTTAAATTCAGAAAGTTTAATTATTAACATATTTGGAAAACTATTTTCCTGTTCCTTTTTTCTCCTAAAAGTACTGTTGATCAGGTAATAAAACAGTTATTTCATATGTGATTTGGGAACAGTCAACCAGTTGTCCCTCTGTGTCGTGGAAAGTGTTTTGAACTGTTGCCCTCGGCCTACGACCTTGGGCAGCAGTTCAAAAAAACTATCCCCTCCACCTCGGGCCAACAGTTTGACAAATCACAAATCACATATGAAATAACTGTATAATATGCAATCCTTTGAAGGTAAAAAGTCACATAAGAATGTCACAGGGTGAGAAAAATGTGCAGCCTGACCGGGACTCGAACCCGGGACCTTCGGAATACCGTTCCGCGGCTCTACCGACTGAGCTATCCGGCCGCTTACACATCTTCTCCCTAAATAGTTAACAGTTCTGAACCGTGACATACTCCCCTGCTATATTGAAATTCGTCCTCGAATTTCACAGAGTTACAGAGCAATGTGAATTAAACTCTGAGCTATATCAGTCACAGTCCCCCGTTGGGCGCCAAATGTCACAGGGTGAGAAAAATGTGCAGCCTGACCGGGACTCGAACCCGGGACCTTCGGAATACCGTTCCGCGGCTCTACCGACTGAGCTATCCGGCCGCTTACACATCTTCTCCCCTAAATAGTGAACAGTTCTGAACCGTGACATACTTCACCACAATATTGAAATTCGTCCTCGAATTTCACAAAGCTACAGAGCAATGCTAATTGAACTCTGAGCTATAAGCAGTCACGGTCCCCCGTTGGGCGCCAAATGTCACAGGGTGAGAAAAATGTGCAGCCTGACCGGGACTCGAACCCGGGACCCTCGGAATACCGTACCGCGGCTCTACCGACTGAGCTATCCGGCCGCTTACACATCTTCTCCCCTATATAGTGAACAGTTCTGAACCGTGACATACTCCCCTGCTATATTGAAATTCGTCCTCGAAAATGACCCTGTGACAAGAATATAAGAATATACTAACTTTATTACAATTTTACCTTTAGTTAAATTCTTTTTAAATATATGATTCCCATCTGTGACAACAAGCTGTATGACTGATGTACTGGTAAAGTTCACCGGAGGAAGCTGTCCTATAGTTACATTACTGCCAAAACTTAAAGATGCATTGAACACCTCTTCATCTTTGATCCATGAAATTAAAACTGGGGTCACACCATGCACGTGTACTTCTGTACAATCTACAATTTCTATAACTGAAAGATACCAATATGACAATTTAATTTATATTTAATGTATTTCAGTACAAATGAACCAAATCAAATTACAAACTTTTTACGGATTCTTAAGGCTAATAATACAAATGAACCAAATCAATTTACAAACTTTTTACGGATTCTTAAGGCTAATAATTCTATCTCAAATTATTGATTAAAAAAATGATTTTACATAGTATCAGTAAGACCTTGACCTTTGGCCTAATGACCTCAATATCAATAGGGGGAATGGTTATAGGCAATGCTCCTTCTAGGTTACATAAACCATGGCCTATTCCTTTTCAACTTATTGATGGGACAAAAGTAACAGAACAGACATATGTCCTAATCACAGTATCTTCCCAACTTTTTTTAAAGTAGGGACATAAAAAAATATTGAAGTATTTAAAACATTTAATTTAAAGCATTAAAGCCTGCTGACTTTTGTCAGTACTTGCAGAAACATGTGCTGTTTGAGTACCCTTTGGGCCAGCAAGACTTTTTTATGGCCCATCATGAGGGAGCTATACCTGTGACAAAAACAATGCATATTATCATTAATGAAACAGCTTGTCAAACTTTACAAAAAATAAATGATATCTATGGGCATGATTGCACACATTCTTGATAAATCTGAATAAAAAAAACTGTTAAACAACTTTTTTTACTTAGAATAAAATTTCTTACCTCTCAGTTTTATTTGAACCTCTTCCACATCAGCTTCGGTCTCCCATTTATTGCCATAAGCCTTCAAAGACTTTTTTGAAATCAAAACACATGTGTAGCTCTTAAATGCATCATCTTTTACTGGAAACAGAAAGCAATGATGACCTTAAAGATCCTGTAACACTTTTTTTTCATGGTTTTATTTCATACATGTATGAAGTTCTATTGAATTACAACCATTAGTCTTCAAGTTATGATCCGGACAAGGAAAATGCAACAGACGACTGGACCGACCGACCAACTGACCACTGAGTGACTCCTATATACCCCCCCAAACTTCGTTTCGGGGGTATAAAAACTAAGCAAAGTAGAGTTATGGTTCTTTGACACAGCACTTTCTTTAACTTTTCTCTATAACTGTGTGAAGTTTCAATGAAATATTATTGATAGATTGAAGATATACCCTAGACAATTTAAAACTGATGTATAAAAAATAAAAAAATTTACTGTGTTTTTCTGACGTAACATAGGTAATATTCAAATATCTTTATATCTCATTCATATGTTTGTACGTGAACACAAAAATAACCTACTTGAGAGACTAAATCTGTAATGCAAAAATAACTTGTACAAAGAATGACAAAGCTTCACGGAAAAGAAGTTGAATAATAACTTTGATGCAAAAATAACCTTTATGAAAGAAAAAACGTTATCAGTAGTTACTCTGTACCTGTCTATACTAACATTTGGGATTTTGTTTTACAGGATTGTCCAATTCTTTTCCTGTAGATAATTAAAATAACTTTTCCTGTAGATAATTATAATAATAAATGTTAGCATGCATTTGGGGAATCCAAACAGGGATCCCATACATGTATCTTAACAATATATTATATGTTATTTTGGTTTTGGAGTGATATATGTGGATATATTACCTGTTAAGATTTTATATCACCCGAGCCGTTAGGCGAGGGTGATATTTTATCTTGGCAGGTAATATATCCACATATATCACTCCAAAACCAAAATAATAATTTTATTTCCATTCCCCTGCCGAGTTTAGACGATTTTTTTAAAAAAATCATTGCTGTGTCAAATGAAATGTCGAAATAAGATTGCCTTTAGGGTACCTCTTCGTCACAACATGACGTCACATAAATACATGACGTATTTTTCCCGTACCTAACGAATGTAAACAAGAGAAAAGGAGTAGTCTATTGAACGTACTTTTTTGTAATTAATATCAAGCTTTCACAAGGTCATATTTGTTTTCCATACTGATGGTAATATGTATCATTACTCTACTTTGGTAAATATTTATCATTTGACAGTTAAAAAGTGTTTTTAAATCGGAATTTACACCGCGTAAAATCGAACTGTACGCGCATCACCTCAGCGCATGTTGTTTACAACGTTGGGTACCCAACGGGGAAATTTAGTGTGTATATTACCCGTCTGGCTCGGTTATATCAATTTCTTTCGGGTGATCAATATCCAATCAAAAAGGCGGAAAATATCTGGAAGGGTAATAAACATGTATATACCTGTATGTTGAATTTCATAAACCCGGCTTTCTGGTTCTTCAACTTTGTGTCCATTGACTTTCCATATACAAGTCAAGGCAGGGTAATTGCTAGATCCTAACCATGAAAGCTTTGTGACTTCACCATCCTCACCAAACTCAGTCATCTCTTCATCTGAAATATATTTCCCTATTTTTCATCTTGATTCTGATAAATGTCTCTCAATCTATATCATATAATATATAGAGGATATTTGTTTAGTTCAGTGTAAGATCGGAATATATTTCACCGAGTGAGCACCAAAAGGTATATTTCACGAGTGGCGCAGCCACGAGTGAAATATGAACTTTTGGTGTTCACAAGGTGAAATATTATTCGATCTTACATTAAACTAAACAAATTTTTTTTTTTTATTATAATTATGCAAAGAAACGTTTAAAAAGACATTTTAATCTAGTACTAAATGAAAAGGGCGCCAAATAATAATACAACATGACGCCATTTACGACGTCACGTCATTAATTTTCCAGTACAGTGAACGCTTGTATTTCACTGAAACAACGTAGCGGGCTCAACTATTCAAAACAGTAAAATTATCAAATTGATAATTTCACTGTTTAAAACAGTGAAATTATCAGTTCTTATTTCACTGATATATTTCTATAAACCACCGAAAAGCATGTAATAAATATTTGTATCATAGTTTGGAGACTTTTCTATTTAAAATGTGTCAGACTTAGATCGTATACCCATACATGCATATTGTGTTAACTCAGGAAGCAACAATAAGTTACCCGAACTCCAGTTGCCGCATTGTGTATGGGGGATAAAAATGAAGCAGGCTCATTGATTGGCTTGAAAGGAAAAATGACATCAATACCCAATTGGGGAATAGTGGGGTGATATATGTTTTTAGTCACATTCAAGTTGTAATACTGCTTTGATATCTAAGTTGTGAGGAATATATCCAGCTTGCAGTGCAAGGGTATTTAGCAGGGATATCTGACAGTCCAACAAGCCAGAGTCTTTATTGAGAGTTTTGAAATCAGAATTATAAGTCTTAAATGGGGGTGGGACTACAATTGACCAATGAAAATCTTTCAATTTTTTAGCATTATCATCTGTGATTAACTTAAGCAATTAAACAAATGACTCATTCACTAATCTTGCATGCTGCATATAATAAAATTTTTTTTTAAAGAAATCTTAAAAATAAAGTTTGTAGAGAAAACAATCTTACAAGTTTGTGATTGCTATGCCATCGTACTTACTACTAGACTATCTGGCAGTAATTATGATTTAAAGTATCAAGAACTATACTATCATTAAAAATTGTGATAAATTACGGAAACTAACAAAAAATCTCGTCTGAGTCTCATTATTTTCTTGTAAATGATAATGAAGTATGTTCAATAGCAATTGTATTGTCTACCATCAATTTTATGTATAATTTGTATACCTTAAACTGGTATTTATTTGATAATATGGCTATTTCAATAGGATATGCATTTTTCCACTATTAGCTAAGCCACAACATAAGGAAGTTTTAAGTAAGTGTTTAAGTAATTGATGAAATGCAATATGTTTGCATGGCATATATGTGACTTAAAAGCCAATACTTCCACCCTCGATTTTGATTATATTTTTTATTATATTAATTATTATCATAAATGCTACATTAATTTTACCTTTTATGACATAGAGATGTGTCTCAACTCTCACTGTCATCTCAGGGATGGAAGGTGTGACGACACAAGTGTAATTCCCAGAATCTTCTAGGCCCTTTATTTCTATACTTATTTTCTTTACAGAGTGTACACCTTTGATGGACTCTGTGCTTTCAGTGGTAGTGAATTCAGTACCGTTGTGCAGAAATTTAAAATGAATCGTTTCATACTCCTCTCCTGTATAGTTTGGCGGGGATGTACATTGAAACATTACAACATCACCAGCTTTCACAACGGGATTAACTGGATCCAAACTTGCAAGATCTAAAAAAAATAAAAGTAATGCAACTGAAGTAATGAAAGTAATTTTTTTTTTCCAGGTCAACGGAATATAATTATTGAATTGAATTAGACAAAAAACGTACAAAGGGAACAAACCACTGGAAAAAGTATGTGATTATACTATTTCATTGTAAGCTATTAATTTAATTTTTATCAGTGTTTTATATTGTTCACATGGAAACATAATAAATGTAAAATGGTAAATAAGTGTATTGTAACGCTTAAAATAAATTTGGTGATACTTTTGTGCGCTTATTTTTGATACTTAAATCAAATAATTTACGTAATGTTCATAATTGATATGTGCTTTTAGTCAAGCCATATAAAAACGTTTATTTTTGGCACACTTAAAAGAATGACAGTACTTATCTCTTGAGAGAAAACGAAAGTTAAACATTGCAGAAATCGACTTATTTTTATAGCATACATACAACATAAAATGAAACATACCGATTATAATATAGATTTATTTTGAAGTTTAGATGAGATTATGCTAGTATTTTTGAGAAGTAGTTCAGACAAGTTTTGTGACAGACAGACAGACAACAACAAAGAAGTTATTCTCAGGCGCGGCTTAACTATTGTAGCATTGTATCTTAACCTTTTACCTCATATAGCTTTTTGATCCCCACCCCTTTACGAGGCCTTAAACAGTGAAAAAAATGCCCTATTTAGGCCCCAAACACTGTTTTTCGTTTGAGAAATGTTGTTAAAAAAAGTGATCACTTTTTTGGTGCCGCCCCCCTCTCCCCACATCAAAATTGTACATCAGGAGGTTGCCAGAAGGGGGATTTGCCCCCTTCTGTTTGGGGGTTTGAATGGGGGTGGTAGTCCCCTTCATCGCCAAAAAATTTTTGGACATGTGACAGGCTAAAAATGGCCTCAGGTCGATCTTAGGGTAACTAGTAACCGACGCTGAAAAGCCTTTTACTCAATTCTAAGTTAAAGGGGAGATAATTCTAAAAATATTGTTTCTAGAGTTATGAACTTTGTCACATACTAGTAAGATGTGATGGATGACAAGAAATACATATTTGAGGTTTAAAGTTATGATACCTTAACGTACCCTTTCCCTCATGAGCATATTGTGAAAAATGGCCGTTTTCACTGAAAAGCCTCCTACTATGAAACTATGAAAAATGCTTCAATACTAATCAAACTTGGCACAAATGTTGACTGGACCATTGCCTTTGTAACCACATGCTCAGTCTTAAATTTCCTGTTACCATGGCAACGAGGGGACATCTCAAAATTGCCAAAAATCACTATTTTGCCTCGATTTTTTCCATCAAAATTTATTTCAAAGTGCTGCAACTTCTCAAGGGATTGAGATAGAGTCAAAATTTTCAGCATTGGTTACACGTTACCTTATGATCGACCTGGGGTCATTTTTAGCCTCACAAGTCCAAAATTTTCTTGGCGATAAGGGGGACTCCACCGCCCATCAAACCCCCCCCCCCAAAACAGAAGGGGGCACATCCCCCTTCTGGCAACCCCCTGATATATCTGTTGGATGGGGGCGGCGCCAAAAAAGTGCTCACTTTTTTTTAGCAACATTTCTCAAACGAAAACATGTGTTTGGGGGCCAAATAGGACATTTTTTTGACTATTTCAGGCCTAAAAAAGTGGGCCCATGGGGGTGGGGGGGGGTGGGGGGTCGATAGTGCGTTGTTTCGCGTATATATGAGGTAAAGGGTTAAGAAATTAAAAAGTTCTATTTATTGAGACTTGATGGTTTAATTAAAGGGGCTACACTGAGGTCTGAATAACTTACACTACACTTTAACCAACCCTCTAACAACAATTATGCTATTGACAAAGTAAATTTTCTTAGCCTAGATATCATGATATTTTAACCATTACAAAGTTAATACATAATATTTAATAATTACACAAAAGCTCTCAAATTAACATAGATTATTTGTAAAATTTGTGTATGTCAGTTTCCAACTCCGTACGTTTAGCTAAATTCATCATTGTAATGGAGAAAAAAACATGATTACAACAATGTAATGCTTAAAATATATTGAAATTGCTTTTGAAAGATTTTTCTCACAAGAACATATGTGAACAACAAGAAATTTAACAAACATCCCATAATTTGCTTTTAAATTTATGGATTGTTGGTATATTCCACTTTCGCACTTTCGTTGCTGCCGATACACAAAAAATTCTCCGTTTCGCTTTTTAGTCATCCCGAGAATCATCACGTGACCGTTGCTTTTTATTCAGATTTGCAAACTGAAAGGACTGTTTAAACGCTTTTCCCACAAAATTGGAGAAAATACGTATTTCAAACGACTTGCCAATCCAAAGAACACATATCAATGTATCACTGTATCACTGATTCTGTTTGAATGTCCCTAACACGCAGGTAACAAAAAATTATCGGTTCGTGAAATTTTACTTTTTTTTGTGACATTCGGCCGTACCTCAGTGGAGTACTGTACCTTTAAGGTATTTTTTCATATATGTAAAAAGTGTTTGAAAACCATTTTTATCGTTTTAATAGATGTCTCATTCGTGATTAAATATTAAAATAGTTTTGATAGAGTGTTTACAGAGGAGTATCACTTTGGGAGGCAGGATCTGACCCTAGTCCTATAAATATGACGTCGCTTTGAGATATTTTTGTTTCTGGGCAAAGCAACAGGCTTGACCGACAAAAACTATAACAAGCCTGTAACGTCTAATATATTGGACTAGATCTGACCCCCAAGCGTCTGTGTGTCTATATATTACATAAACTAGATATATTTTTTCCCAACGAATGACAGACTATTCTCTCTCTTACCAGTTCCTCTCCCTGACGGTTCTCTCCCTAACCGTTTCCTCCCCTGACGGTTCTCTCCCAAATTTGAAATATGCAGACAGTTCTCCCCCAATTTTATTTTTATAAGTTATCATTTTAGTTATGACTTAATCTAATAATATTTCTTAATGAAGATTATTTTTGTTTGATATTAACTGCATTTTATGTTTTATGTTTATCAGCTGCAAAGTGTTTGTTAATTTAACACCTTTTTTCAGTATTTTAATCCTATCAACACCTTTATTGTGAGAGATATAGATCATTGGACAGTGATTGATATACACCTGTAATTATGTTAAGGTCTAGCTTGTGATGTTCATTTATTTGTTAAATAGTGATTAAGGTGGAAACAAGTATGTTCTAGAAAATAAATAAACAACAACTGGTATGCAAATACATTCCACATTTACTTTTTTACGAAATAGATTTAAAAACATGTAGTCATTAACTTGAAACAATAAATAATACTTATTCATCAACACCTTTTCACAGCTATTTTAATCTAATCAACACCTTGATTCTTGAGTAATGAATTAATAAACACCTCAATTATCACTGACAGCAAACTTAACGCATACATGATACATGTGTGTATTGAACTCCTTTTTTCATTATACAAAAGTTAAGCAATTAGAATTTATTAAACATTTTTTGCCTATAAATTTCATTTTTATTTATTAAAAAAATAATAAAAAATAATATCTTATGATTATCCTTATCAAGTAAATTATGCATTAATTATTTTCAATGACTAAACACTTATAAAAGTATACATTACATCTAATTAAAAAATCAGAATAATTAACTAATATCATCATTGATCAATTATTATTAGATTCTATATGTTAAAAAGTTTTTTTCTAATTCAATTTATATCAATTGATAATAAAGTTACAAATTTATTAAACATCTAAATACTTCAATACAATAGTTTTTTCTCTAATTTATATAAATTTTTTATACTAAACTTACCGATTTATTGTTGCTGATGATGCTAACAAAATTGAAACTTGGATTAAACATCTGAATACTTCATTAAAGTATTTTTCTCTCTAATTCATATCAATTTATTATAAACCTACCCATTTATTTAACATCTAAACACTTCAATAAAATCTATTTTTTTCTAATTTATATCACGGATTTATATTACAATTGTAATATAAATCCGTGTTTATATCAATAATTATTGATAATAAACTTACCCATTTATTTATCATCTAAATACTTTAATAAATGAATAATAATGTAATTATATAAATAAGAATGGGGGGGGGGGGGGGACTGTCTTCTAATTTGCAAATATGCAGACAGTTCTCCCCCAAAATAGGGAGAGAACCGTCAGGGAGGAAACGTCAGGGGAGGAACTGGTAAGGGAGAGAATAATCTGACTACCTTTCCCAACATGTGACGGGTCCCTTTGAATAGATATCGGCAAAACTAATTAAAACAAGAACTACTTAACGAAATGAAAGTGAACTGATAACATTACCTTGCAGAATGTCCACACAATCGACTTCGGGATGTGTCCCGAAAACAGTAAGAATTAGAATTATTATTTTCATTTTTCCGTAAGTCAAATTTCATCTGAATCTTCAAGCGCTTCGATCTATATTTAAACTGGAAAACCCAAAAATCTAGACTGGTCCCCTGCGCATTTCTAGAAGGGAACCATACTAGTATAGGACAGGGAACCAGATAAGGATTCTATTAATAGTAACAAATTGATGCTGCGTAGTAGTCAGATAGAAAAATTCGTAAATGTTACTAAAAATAGCGGTGCTGGAAAATCTTTTCTCACTAACCAGATAGAAAAATCCGTAAATGTTACTAAAAATAGCGGTGTTGGAAAATCTTATCTCACATGGGCTTATCTCACACTCAACGTGCAGCACTTTTAATAATACGCGATTCACTCCTATTTTAACAAAAATTAAACGTCAAAAGGTCAAAATGTATTAAAAATTTGTAAGCTAATCTATTAAATTGTCTACGGAATCAAAATAGATTGATATTAACTTTCACACTGCAATGAGTCCTACTCTACCTAGATCCGCCCTTTCCAATAACGATCTGTTACTAAAAATAGCACACTTTAAAATATCGAAACGTTCTTCGTAAAATCGAATATTAAGACACTTTGCCTGAAAAAACATTCATGTTTTTGTTTATGATAACGATGCTTTTTGATGACGAATCTCATTTTGATATATTTTAATTGAATATTCGGCCAAAATATCCGAAAAAGTAGAAAAATCTTTGCAAACGGTAAACGCTTTTTTGTCAACCATTGAAGTATGAATAAATTCCTTAAAAACACTTATATTATGGCACTTTCCGTTTTTAATATCGATGTGTTTCATCATGATAACCTTGCTTTTTCATGAGGGGTCTCATATGAATTTATTTTCATTAAATTTTTCACACATAAACTTGGTCAGAAGAATTTTTTGCGGACGTACAGTTGAGTTCACACTAAACTTCCCACCCTTGTGCACTTCTAGTGCACTAGAGCTGAACTAGAAGTGCACTAGAAGTGCACTTCTAGTGCACTAGACCATATGACCAGGCTGGCCAGGGAAGGTGACACCTAAATGGTTTATTGGATAATTGTATATCAAGTGTGGGAGGGGGCATCCATTGTTACGCTGCTGTATGAAAAAAAAATGGGAATATATATATATATGGCCTATTCATGAATATAAATAAGTAAATTTTAAAATCAGCAGTTTTAACATTTTAGGTGATTATCATGTTGAAGCTTAAAATTAATTTTTTTTTTTTCATTTATTGTTAATCATATTTTTATTAACCAGTATTTAACAGTAAGTGAAAATAATACCCTTAAAATCAAATTTATAAAATTAATAAGGTTAAATTTAAATTATGCTCCGTAATGGATAATGAAATAAGTGTTTTTAAAGCTTTTTTAAATGGCCATATATTTCAATTTTTCTAGTGTACAAATGAATATAAATCAATGTGATAATTCTGGCCCAATTAATTTAGTTTGTTACATCATAAACTTTTTTTCATAAGCTCAAACAAATCAAGGAAAGGTTATATTTAAGCTAAAATATTATTTCTATAATATATAACTTAGAGACAATTCATCATGTTAAATATTGAAAGAGAATATTAATACATTGATTTTAAAACAATCAATATACTGTGATAATTTTGTATTCAACTGTGTAATGCTTGCATATGTTTATGCAAATAATTTAAATATTATCCATAAAATAAATAAATTTGATATCTTTATTCATTATTTCAATATTAAAAATTTAATGTATAAAGGGAATACTTTTATTGAAGAGAAAATCTCAAGTCATGCTGTGTATCGGTATTTTCTGAGAGGGACAGTTTTCAATATACTACTCTCCTGCTGATAAGAGGGCCTCAGGGTAAATAACAAAGATAGGTCAATTTTGCAGATTTATAAGAATGCATTGAAATTCTCTGGTTTTCGCAAAATGCATGTTAGACATAAGCCTGGGATTCATCAGGCGTTGGCACTCAGTAAATGACCATAATTTTTGTATAATCAAATATACAAAAAAAACAACATAAAGGCATAAATGCATAATAGATATTATCAGAGACATAGATAGATGTTATCTATGTCTCTGATATTATTGTCTCTAAAGCGGAATTTTCTATATGTATCCATTTATCCACATTTCTTGCCATTCTGCATAATAATATCACGGATTTATATTACTATATACTATTAATATAAATCTGCAATTCCTCAAAGAGAATATTAATTCATTGATTTTAAAACATTTTATACACTGTGATATTATGTTCTTCAACCATAAAATGCTTGCATACTTTTTAAAGATATACATAATTAATTTTTTTCCATAAAATAAATAAACTTGATAACTTTATTCAAGATTTCTACATTAAAAATGTAATGTATAAAGGGAATGTTTTTATACAAGAGGAAAGATTCGAGTCATGCTGTGTATTGGCGACTGTTTTCATTACACTGGTCTCCTGCTGATAAGAGGGCCTCAGGGTAAATAACAAAAATGCAAATGTATGCAATATTTATTGAAAATTTCCCTTTTCCCCCAAAAATACATGTAAGTCATCGAAAAATGACTACACTTTTTGTATAATCAAATGTAAAAAATAATCTTAATGTCATAAACGCACGTTTCATTAAACCAACAGTAAATAGTAAAATTAAGATTTTGAATGATAATGGCACCATATTGACTTCTGACACTGAAAAAGCAAATTTACTTAACCAATTTTTCCAATCACAATCCTCACTTGATGATAAAAATAAGTCTTTACCAAACTTTCATGTACATCAAAATATTAATAAACTTGACACAATAAATATAACTTATGATGAGGTACGTGATACTCTTAAAACTCTCAATGTTGGTAAAGCATCAGGACCTGATAATATCAACAACAGGATACTAAAGGAATTGTCAGAAGAACTCTCTGTACCTCTCTGTCATCTTTTCGGAAAATCATTAAACAGCTTGTAAAGTCCCTTCACAATGGAAGCTTGCCAATGTATGTGCAGTCTACAAGAAAGGTGACCCCTCAATTGTTTCTAATTACAGACCTATATCACTTCTTAGCACGATCAGCAAATCTTTAGAAAAAAATTATACATAAGCATATATTCAATTTCTTTGTTGCTAATAACACAATAACTTCATTACAATCTGGGTTTGTTTCCCAATGACTCAACAACAAATCAACTTGTTTCTATATATAATACATTTTGCAAAGCCCTTGATGATGGAAAAGAAGTGAGAGCTGTCTTTTGCGATATTTCAAAAGCCTTTGATCGTGTCTGGCATAAAGGTCTCATTTTCAAGCTTCAGTCTGCTGGAATAAATGGTGGGCTTTTAAACTGGTTTAGTGACTATCTCAGTGATAGAAAACAAAAGGTGGTTCTTCCAGGCGGTTCCTCTCAAACCGTTTTTATTTCAGCCGGAGTTCCTCAAGGGTCCATTCTAGGCCCTCTTCTCTTTTTAATCTATATAAATGACATTGTTCTTGACATTAACTCATATATCAGACTCTTTGCAGACGATACAAGTTTATATATCATTGTTGATAATCCACTTCATGCTGCGGTGACTCTTAATTCTGATCTGAAAAAAATTACAGAATGGGCAAATGGCTGGCTTGTAGACTTCAATCCAAGTAAAACGGAATCAGTAATTATCTCTCGTAAAGTAAACAAACCAATTCATCCCCCATTGACAATGAACGGAGTGCAAATAAATGAAGTGACCTCACACAAACATCTTGGAGTAAACATTTTCTAATGATGGAAATTGGCATTCTCACATACAAAATATTACCAAAAAAGCCTGGCAAAGAATTTATATAATGAGATCTTTGAAATTCATTCTTGATCGTAAGTCACTTGAAACTATATATCTCTCTTTCATTCGGCCCCTTCTGGAATACTCGGATGTTGTTTGGGACAACATAACTCAACAAGATGAATTTGAACTTGAAAAAATACAACTTGAAGCCTGCAGAATAATAACCGGTACAACAAAACTAGTTTCTATCTCTAATCTTTATGAAGATACTTGCATCCAACCCCTTAAAGTAAGACGCTACAAACACAAACAAATACTTCTTTATAAAATGTTCAATAATCTTTCTCCTCATTACCTCTCTTCATTAGTTCCCGATACAGTAGGAGAATCTTCAGATTATAATTTACGAAATGCAGACAACACTAGAAATATATTTTGTCACACACAACTTTATTCTCATTCATTTTTTGCCATCATCAATTAAAGACTGGAACAATCTTCCTGTTAATTACAGAAATTCACCATCCATTTCAATTTTCAAAAGTAGACTTAATGAAGATGTTCAAAGTGTGCCTTCTCATTATTATGTAGGTGAGAGAAAATACCAGATTATACACACACGACTTAGAACACATTGTAGTTCTCTCAAAGAACATTTGTTTTCAAAAAACATAATAGAAAGTCCCCTATGTGAATGTGGTGACATAGAAAACACATCTCATTATTTCTTCTCGTGTCCAAGGTACCAAGATGAACGAAATGTCCTCCTTAATTATTTAAGTGAAATAACAACTGTCACACTTAACGTTTTACTCTATGGTGATAATTCAATTGCTGACGATTTAAATGAAGCAATAGTCCTTCATATACACTCATATTTACACAGAACAAAACGTTTTGAAATGTAATAGAAAGTTATTTTTTCGACTAATATGAAATAGAGATTTAGATGCATAATATCTTCTCAAAAGTATATTGTAAACTCGTTCCATCAACTCCATAGTATTTTAGTGACCATTCCTGTTGTCTTTCTTTTTCTTTCTCTCAAATCTGTCTCTTATTACCTACCATCTATTACCCAACAATTTCAACAATTAACTAACGTTTCCATTTATTTATTTTTCTTTAAATTTTTTTTAAAACATGCTTTAAAGTTCTATTATTTTTCTTGAAAAGTTTAAACGTGCTAATCTGTGCATTTATCACTTACGTGTATTTATGCTATAGAACTATAGGGTTTTCTTTCACATTTTTATGTCAATATTCTATTATTAAGGTCGTTTCGA